TAGGATAAATGTTTATCGAAGTGGGTGGAAATGTATGGGAATATAATCGTTTTAAATAAAACGATGGGAGGTGAATTAAGATCAATAGTAAGTAAACATATTGTACGTGAGAGTAAAATGCTGATGAAAAATACACAAGAAGGAACTCACATTAATGTAATGTTGTTAGTATTCTAGTAGTAAATAAATCTCCAAATATTTCTTCAAACCCCTTTATTCCTGACTTCTGATTTTGTCAAGTTGATATGATTTATTTATCGTGGTGTTACGCGCAAAAGCGTTTTCAAACTCCGAATATTTATGACATAATAAGTGGAGAGATTGACGTGATCCAACAATAAAAATTGAGTCAGTTACTTGTTGTAACATCGGATATCATTATTTGTATTCTTATTTTTATACGTGGTGATATTCATTTGGCATTTGCGGACACTTTTCTTGCTCATTTGTATATCTTGTCTAAATCATGATGGAATTGACGCCTAAGCAATTTGAGATTGATATTCTTTCGCCTTCCACCTTCCAACGCATTCCATTCTGGCCCAAAAATATCGAATCCTGGTCCCTCTACACAGAAGCTGATTTCCATGAGCACGATGTGATAAGCCAACATTCAGAGTTCCTCCCAGTAGTGAAGGTATTACTGCACGATGTTACGAAGTAAGTCATACTGGTATGTTTAGTAGTGATGTTTTGGAAACTTACGATGCTTTAAAGAAGCTATACTTAAACGTGGAGACCTAACTGATTGACAAAGGTTAGACCAGCTCTTCTAAATTACTCAGTTAGGAAACTGCACAGCAACTTAAATGTTGCTGTGTACGTGAGAGGTCATTGTAAAATGGGCTTCTGATGGAGGCTTGTTTAGACAGCCCTCCTAGTCAAAGCTTTCCCAACAGGTGCGAGCAGTTCTTGTCTCATTTCGAAATTACGCTGTAGACGAACCGGCTGCATCTGTCAACCAGACTCAAAAGATCACTAGGACTACCAACATCCAGGTTTATTGTGTTAAAGAAAGGATTCAAACGACACAAAATTACTTTACAGACCTCTGTCATACTTCCACTCGTCATCTCAATGTTCTTTAAAACTTTGGACACTCGCAAACTCTTCGAAGAAGACGTTTCTAGACTACGAGAGGTGGGTTATCCTGATTTGTGGGTTAACATATTATCCATCATTGGGTTTTCGTTGTTGCAGATGTGTCCTACACCATCCATTCGTATAGACCTGATACAACACCATAATCTATCCATCGACCCAAGGAAACGGAGATTTGTAGATGGAAATACTAAATTATCTATAGAATGAAGGGAGTATCACAACAATGGATAAACAACACATGAAAACCTTCTGGATTTTTCCCAAAACGGTTGCAAGTCACTGAATGGAGATATAACATTTTCGGTAGGAAGTTTCTAGACACGTATCGTGCTGTACGGCACTTTCAACGCTCCGTGAAGGCCGAGAATTCACACCATTTACTGACCATCGACCTATTACCTTCTCTTCAAGCTCGTCTTTAGACAAGTAACGCCCTCTAAAGTTTCGAAAATTGGACTATATTTCGCAGTCTACTTTGGATATAAAACACGTTTCTGAAGCAAGCAATATAGTTTCAGACCCCTTGTCTTGTATAACTCTATTAGACATTTGCCACGAAGTCGACCTTCTCAAATTCGTCCAGTTCCAAAAAGTAGACACTGACATTCAGCACGAGTTTTCTTCGATAACCCTGAAACTACGGATCAAAAAGATAGGGGCAGGCAAGGAAGCTTTACTGTGTGAGACACCTACAGACAGGGATCGCTTAATCGTTCGGAAACATTATCGACGCAACGTCTGCAAAACATTGCGCGACCTTCCTCTTCCAGTTGTTTGAGCAACCACCAAGCTAGTCGCAGGACGGTTTTGTTGGCCTGGTATGAATATAGACATGATAAAGTGGCTACGCTTCTGTGTAAGCCGGCAGAAATCTAAGGTGACAAGTTGCAACACATATCTCTTAAGCTCCTTCGCGACTCTCGACTCTCGTTTCGACCATCTGGATTTGGTAAGATTTTTACCAGATCCAAACAAACACTGTTGCTTATTAACGTGTGTGGACCGTTTCACACGATTACTGGAAGCAGTACCTATCAGCGACGTTGCTATTAAATACTGTCCATACCTTCGTCGAACAATGGGTAGTAAACTTCCTCTATCCGTCAATTACTACTACAGATAGTGGACACCAGTTGTAATCTGAGCGTTTCCATTTTCTTACTACAGTCCTAGGAATCACACGGTTCCAAATGACTGCTTGGTCACCCCTAATGATTTCATCAACAGGTTAAAGCTTGAGTTTTGGATGTCAACTTACAACAATGGACTAACTCTCACCCATCCGTGCTGCTCAGTATTCTCAATGTGGTGAAAGCTGTCATTGGATACACTAAGACACAACTTGTTTACAGAACGTAACTTTGAATCGCAATAGTTGTTGATCTGTAGAATTAGGGTTAGGATACAATGCCACTACAGATTCATCGTCTTCTCCGCTGAATATGGACTTTAAATTTTACACAATACCTTGAGTTATACCTGTTCCCACGCAACTTAGTCAACTGATGTTTTCGCTCAACCCACCTTACAATATGATACACACGTTTACGTACGCCGTTATTCACTTTATTAGCTCTTGAAATGGCATACCAAGGACCCTTCAAAGTCCTTGATAATTTGATTATCGTGGTGTTACATGTAAAAGCGCTGTCAAACTTCGAATACCTGTCACATCCTTATTTTTTCGCACTATTCTAACTGGGCGATGGTGTACAGGCCTTATAGGTGCAAGGCCATGTGTTGTAGTCAAGAAACTGTGAGAATAATGCGTAAACTCCTCAGGATTCTACTGAGCGTTCTATGCCGTCAATGAGTGCTCGACGAACAGGATGTTCCTAACAGACTTCAGCCCGTGGTTTTCTTTTCCAGGATTATTTGGGGATTACGGAAGACAAATTCTTTTAGAAACATTTAAGTGTACACGGTACTTCTTTACCGTATTGAGTTTTATTTTTCTGACACTTAGATGTTCAATGTCAACTCTTAACTAATCATCGTAAGTTGTTACCCCCTCACATTTGTTTCAAATAAGTGTTCTGATTTCCGAATTGCCTTGAGCACTCTACCTTGGATTTCGTACGGCTACTTCTACTTCAGCACTTGTTCTTCAATCGTTCTATTATTGGTCACTTTTCAATCATGCTTGAGAAGTCCTTGAAAGCTGCTGCTTTCGGGTTTCCAGTCAAAATTAGAAAAACGATACGAAGTAAGACTAAAAACATTAAGTCTAACCTGCCTATGGCAAACAACATGACATACGAACCATGTGTGTACACACGGCTAAAATGTTCACTAATATTGTTCAGACTAAACTCATCTGATGCAAGTGAGTTTCCGACTTTCTCAAATACAGTCTGACAGAAACAGATTATCAGAGATATTAAGGTTCTTCCAGAAAGAGCATCGTGTCAGCAAAAAGCAGGTAAAGTTAGCTACAAACCACTAGCATCAAGGTCCTAATCACATTCTAATCCCGAAGGTCGTAAACTCAAGTCTGATTATATGAGAACCTCCAACTTAATAAATGTACGGTCATTGCTAAGCTTTCCGTAATTTCTTAAAATTCGGAACCCAGTGGTAAGTAACTATAATGTGAACGCAGTTATTTCTTCCAAAATCATTAACTTAGATCTGACCCTAAACAGTTTTTCAGGTGATGAGTCCAGTAGTATAGTTAAAAGTTCCGTCGGTGCAACACAAGGTTGGTGCTATTGTGAAACGACCACCGGCCAAAATGATTGTGAAAATTTCGTAACCGAACACGTACTAGATATGAACATATTTGAACATTGCAAGCCACCAAAAGCATGCCCATTAGCACTCAACTTCGCTCAAATCATAAGGGGTCAAGACTAACCACAAACCTTGCAAATAAACATTCTTTCCTGACGCTAGGAAAGAATGCGAGTTGATTCCAAGTTGTCCGACTTCACTAGCAAACGAATCCCGAAGAGTAGAGGGAGATATAATGCAAAGCTTTGAAAAAACAAACATGGATTTACGGAATAATCCAGAATCTGGCTGTTGTCTGAAAGTGTTGCGTGGCAGATTATGATCTATACTGGTCACTAGGTACAGTTATGTACACGATCGGCAAGTGTATTTCTGAATAAATAACTGAAGTATATAATTTGTGAATCTTCGAATATGATCTTGACCATACCAGTTTCTGAATTCCCAAGTAATGATTTCACATTTCGTACTTTTCGTTTTACTTGTTATTTTAAATAGAAGATTGATAAGAACAGTACGTCAGTATCCACAAACTCAGGTTCTGTCAGCTGACTACCAAATCTTCCATTGAATTGTGAACCGGTGAAACACTGCCTTAAAACACCATCGAAACTTCGTTTCTACATCCACTCGTAATGTCCAAATGGTCCTAGATGGAATAGAAGAAGCTTTCGCCTAACGGGCCTCTGTATCTAGTAGCAACGAATCGCCAGTGCATTCAGGTAAGAACCTAGGTATATTATCGATAAGAGAGAAAAAAGAAACACTAAATTATAATGAGATACTGTCCTTAGTCCTTAAGAGTAGGTCAAGCGTTTTGTTAAAAAAACTTCCGAGAAGTCTCTTAAACTAGCTCAACCGGTAGCGAATTTCAATATTTAACAACTCCTAAGTATTAGAAAGTGTTCCTGCAGTCCGTTTTACTGTGATGTGTCTCTATTGCAGCCTCCCTGAAATGTCCATAAAACTGAAAAGGTTTTCCTCAAAATAAGGGGATTGGGTATCATAGTGACTACAATTAGTGCAGTCCGGTGGCTAGAATATCACGCGTTGGGCATAACCAAATAAGTGTAAACATACCGATACCACAGTTGTTCCATACAAGCCAGTGATGAAGATATTGGATATTTGTGTTACTTCACCTTGGACGCCGAAGGTCAAGCGCTCTAGTGTGTTTTAAATTTTGTAAGTTGCAGCAGGTAAGATGAGAACGATCTTTAGTTTGAAATTATTGATTAATTGTGTCAATACGTTTAATTTGACAATTACAGTTAGTTGGAAGTTAATTGAGCTTAGAATATACACGCATTTCGTCGGGGGGTTTATTTCAGTGGTAATTTCAGCCAACTGATTGAGTTACTCACTACATATCCGTGACTTTTTAACGTTAAATTTCTGTTCATCCTGTCCCCGAAGTATTGTTAAGATGTTTCACTCTTACCTCACCCTAGCCTAGCTAATCCAATGAACTGAGCATCAAGACTGGAAGAAACGCCCTAATTCTAAAATTTAAGTCTAATTACCTTACCATCTTATTCCTGTTCAATTACGCCTGTTGCCCCTTATGGAGGAACACAAGCCTACCATCAGCATTCTCTTTCTTGAGTAATCCTTACAAGTCGTTTCCAGTTGGGTGAGACTATAATATATGGACGACCTTTGAGCGACGCTAAAAAGGCTTGAGAATGTCCGCCTACATACTACGGCTAAATAAGGGTTATAAACCAGTGCAAGGAATCAGGATTAATACTTACAGTTAATAGTTAGGGTTAAGAATTAGATATAGGGTTTTGATCACGAACTGACATTAACTATAATGCCAAAACTATTTAGCCAAATGAATAAATTGATGTTGGGCGAAAATTCAAGATTTGTTATCTCAAATCTGATTGGTTCGTCCATAAATTATAGTCGCGCAGTTTCCCAATCCTGTCGCGCTCCTATCAACATATTGCATTGGACTGGCCGGGAATTAAGCCCTTAAAACATCCCAGGCTCCCAACTTTGGGGAAAATTTAGTCCATTTTGGGGAAATTTTGGGGAAGCCTCTATAGTAAATTTTGGGGAAATGAGACAAAAAACCCAAAATTTCCCCAAAGCTGGCAGCTTGGGATCCCCCATTCAGTTTGGCCTTCATAATCATCCCAATAAGTTTGATTTCGTAGTTGTAAAGCAGCAAAGTTAGTAGATGCTAACCAAAACTTTTTCCTTGCGTAAATTTCATCAACTGCTACCTGAGCTACATATCTCTACCATCTCGAAGTGTGATACCTCGAATAATTAAAGCACTCCACGCTTTTATTTACTTTAATCTCTATCTTGAAAATGTATTTACAAAAAGAAACGATTGGACATCAATATTCTACGGTTGGCATTGGTAAACTGCATCAATTTATTTTATCTAACTGGAATCTGTTTATCAGATATCGAATACACAAAATTAGTATTGACCTAATTCATAATCTCGAGTAAAGATGATTACAACTATTCAATTGCACATTGTTTAGTGTGATGTCGGCGTAAAGGTGAAGAATGGTTTCAGGTCACTTCGATTATATTAGCTTGGGATGCACATGATAATATACTGCTAGTTATTTTAAATTTTTCTCATATTTTTTATGTCAATCGTTATTATGCACCATATAATATCTATGTGTCAGTCAACATTAATGTTAAGTTTGTCGAATATGCTCGTCGGCCAAAGTTAAGAGACCACGTTACTACGCTAATATGAATACCAAGATAGTGGTAGTATCAGGGCAAGCAAAAAGAACATAGCATGATTCAAGACCGAATGGGTTCGTAGAACAAAAGCTATTAACCTAGGATCTAAGGGAAGACTAAGAGTGAATTCATCTACACTATTTCGTCTGATTATGAGCCATATGGCTCAGATGATATATTTCATCCAACTTCTCTAACCGTTGGTCGAGGTAATCATATGGACCCCAACCGTTCAATATGCACCTACTGACATGGCTCAGTCTATCAGCCTATGATTCCATGGACTGATGCATCGTTCTAGTTTGGACACTCATAGTTTTCTCCCTACTTATTCCTACACCAGTCAACATCACGCACCAAGGTATTTCATTTTTCTAACCATCTTAGTCTATGAAGACAACCTTTCCAAACGACCTACCATCTTTGTCTAGTACCCTTCACCTAGAATTAACATTTCCTACAGGGCAGACTTGATTGACATACTTGCCTTGTCATTGGCAAACGAACACCAGGGCTACATCACAAGTGACTCAAATTAGCAAAAACTAGACTTATTTTTTGAATCCATCCCAAGATTTTGTCGAACATTATACATCTATATCTTTATGTGTTTCGTTTTCTTCAAATAAATTATTGAATACTAATAACAATTTTTCGCTGCTAAATATTAATCAATAAAGCTCATTCTTTTACATATTTGCCCTATATTTGTATGTTTTAGCATTATTTTCCACAACAATGAGGTTTAGACTTGTACGAAGTTTGTATATTATTTTGTTATGCACTGTTTTTGCACTCTACATCACAATGCAATATTATTCTGAATCAAGAGAGAAAAATCTATTGAGGCTAAAAAATACATTAGAAGATTTCCGTGAAAAACCACAAGGTGTACTATCAATCCCTTGGCTCGCCGATATTCCAGCTGGTCAACAATGGTTAGTCATATTTACTTATTTACTGTGTTTAGTGATGAAGGTTTGAAACTTTTGTATGCATTTGCTGTTATCATTATCTATAAAGTAGATGGTTTAATTGTGTAGCTTTCGTTGTCTCTCTATGCAAGGTCGTTAGCACCTACTTTATGTAAGAGGACTTCTTATTTATTAAATTAGTTCATCCTGACCTTCTTTGTGGTTAATTTTCTTCGCTGGTTATATTTTTGACTTCCTTTTTTGATTGGCTTTTAGCCACATAATCAAAAATGAGCTCTAACGGATGATTCAGAATAGTAATGAAAGCCTTGCAGGTAAACCCTCTAGTTAAGAGAACTCTAGGTTGTGTATAGTCTCAAATAAACTAAACGGAATACCTGGTATATTTATAAATGTTAGTGTTATAACTTGTGGCTTGTGTGCCCTGTTAACGTATAACGTACAATACCGCCAATTAGAGAACAGTGAATTATCGATCGGACCAATGACGAGTAAAACCCGTACGAGCAGTCTAGAGAGTCCTGTATTCTGCCTAGCCCGGCCAGTTATGTCCAGAACACAAATTTCAGCCTCTGCAATATGAATAATTTATTCCAAACATACCGGGTTTATATACCAACCAAACAGACTACATCGTACCATAAAATATGAAACAACATTTGTACAAGAATTAGCCAAATGCGGCTGTGAATGAGGAAGCTAGTAATTAATAGATAGGGCATAATTAAAGGTCATAGATCAAAATAAAGCTCATAATAAGAGGGACATGGATATGAATAGTTTAGTTACACAACAACTATACGATAAAAATATACGTATAGTATTGGTCCATAAATGGATCCCAAAAGTTATCATTCATTATGCTTATCGGGACATAATAGTTAGTTCGTAGGTACGACGTACTAACATAATGTTTATTTAAAACAGATTTTTGAAATCTTCCTGTGATTTTCAGTAGATAATAATTGTGGTTAAATACCCAGTTCACAGACCTGTACTTGGTGAATAAGGGTTGTAATTAACATCAATTGGAAAGGCTTACTTACTTTATCCCGTTATCCATCTTCAGTTATAGGCTGCCGACCAGGGATCTCCAAACAAACTTTTCTTGTACTTTTTTTGAGTTGTTGCCAATTGCTATTCATGGTCTTGATTCCCACCTCTAATTGCCGGTGCCATGTATTCTTTGGTCTTCCTCTTTTCTCTTTGCCTTGAGGATCACAAGTAAAAGCTTTCTTTGTAATGGAATTTGATGTTTCCCACAATGTGTATTCTTTCTATCTTCAGCGTCTTTTCCTAATTTCCTTACCAACTGATAGCTAGTGTTCTTATTCTCTGAAGAAATGGCTTACACCAAGTCACGAAACGTCAGAAAATTTAATTTTACTACTCATGGGGATATGACAAATATATTATTTTTATTGATAGCTAATTTGCTCTCTGTCACAACCGGTTATTGCTAATGGTTTCTAGCCAACAAATTTGTATTATCTTGTTTAGAGAGCTGTTTGTCAATACCTGTACTTTTTTGGTGATGGTTGTAATATTTCTCCAAGTTTCACCTGCGTGCAAGAGAACTGCTTCAACGTTTGTATTGAAAATTCTGAATTCGGTGTTGTGTGATAGTTGTTTAGGGTTTCAGATATTCTTCAGTTGTAGGAATGCTCCCCTTGCTTTGTCGATTCGTGCCTTTACATCTGCATCAGATCGTCTTCATTTACTACATTGTTTGTTATTATTATACACCATCAATACATAATAAAATATTAAGATCAAGGTTTTTAATCTCTATTGTACCTCAAAGTGTTACAGACTAATCTGGAAAATCTTCGTACTAGTTTCCGCGTTCTTATCAAACTGTTGGATGTCACGGGTTCGGAGCCTATAGGAGACATTATTTTCCTCCAGGTTATAGATGTGCCTTGCCTACAAGTGGTAACTAGGACGAAAGAAAAATCCAAGTGTTTCTTGTCAATTTATTTATTTAAACACATAAACATCGGTACAAGGAGGCACCAAATAGATATGCGCCACATAAATCATTCGACTTGTGTGAGGGTTGTGATACTGCTCGGGTGCCCAAACCTAAGCAGGCGGTTTTCTCAGGGGGCCACACCCAGAGCCTTCGACCTAAAGGTCTGATCCATAAGGCAGTGAGGCAACGTTAGGAGATGAAGTCCCAGCATTTGGTTCGCACGTCATTTATTGCTTCAGGATACTGGAGCCTATGTGCACCATTGGTTTGGAATCACGGTTTTCCAACTCCCTTAGGTGGATCCTCCACATCCACCAACCCGGTTAATTCGCCGGACATTCGCTTTTCGTCTTCTCAATTTCGTGAACAACAGACCCGCCATGAGAAGTCAGTGAGTAGGACTTACCTGGCAGTGGCTTTATACAAGTGGCTGTGTGAGAGCATTTCGAAAGGGAGAGCTAACTTTCCCTACTCTCGGCCGTATCAGGGCATTTAGTGGGCTTGGATACGTGTTACTAATATCATCCCAGTAACTCCCACATCTCACATTATTTGGTGAAGCTGGAACTGACTGGAAATGAAGAATAGCTGGTCATTTTATAACGTGGTGTGAAAGAAAGTTGTATATGACTGGCATCTGTCAGATCATTACAATTCCGCCATTATGGTCCTAGAGATGATACTATTCGATAGCTTAAAATGTCCTGTGGTTCCAAAGTGAAGTTGGTAATGACCCTGCCGCAGTTTTCCTTCACATTTTTGATAAAAGTGAAAATATTCTTAACTGAAAGAATCTTACATTTCTTCCTATAACTGAACTGTATCTCCTACTATCAACCGTTCTCGTTCACTTATTCTTTATAAATTTTTTAATTGTGCTCTCTCCCTTTATTTTTTCTCGATCTCATATTTTTATTTGTATGACGCATAGGTGTTTTAGTACCCAGTTTTATCAGAATTTTGTGTGTACTTAATGAAATAAATAACTTCCAGGTACCTCCAGAAGTACCTTTCCACGGTTGAGGAACGGGGAAGTAATAACCGCCCTCATACTTCCAACAGAACTCAATTCAACTACGTTAGAAGATTATCAACCACTGTTGACTGTACTACAAAAAATTGACTATACGTGATAGGAGTTTCATTTTAGTAATACATGTATAAAGATGATGGTTTACTGGGTAGATATAACCAAATTCTAAGTATTAGAGTAGAAATTTGATAGCCATTCTTGATGCCTAACCCCTGTTTAGTATGAATGTAGCCTGCAGATAGACAGTGTAACTTACGACTGAATACACGAATTTGTAATTATTTACTGAGTCGTAGAGACTTCTTAAAAATTATATACTCTTACAAGAAGGAAACTCATTTTCAACGTCATCACTGTTGAATAAATAATTGTGGTAATGTTGGCTGATAAGTATCATATTGAATGGTTGAATAATTTCACAACTACGCCCCATAGTTGCAGTAGAATGGTTATTGGAAGATCAAATAGGACACACTAACTAATTGGTTTATATTAAGTTAACATGAACTTATTAAAGCTGTCACCGAAAAATTCATCTTAAAGTGATTCAAATTCCCTAGAAACTTGATTGTACACGGTCTGTTCAACGAATATGATTGTTAATTTGTAAGAATATAAGCCCCCAAATGCCCTGGTACTGCCGAGAGTAGGGAGAGTTAGCTCTCCCTTTCGAAATGCTCTCACATGGCCACGTATATACAGCCACTGCCAGAGAAGTCCTACTCACTGACTTCTCATGGCGGGTCTGTAGTTTACGAACTTGAGAGGACGAAAAGCGAATGTCCAGCGGTTTAACCGGATTGGTGGATGTGGAGCATCCACCTAGGGTAATCTAAAAACCCAGGATCCTGAAGGAACGATTGGCGTACGAACCTATTGTTTGTCACCGGCCACCATGGGACTAAATCTCCCAACGTTAATCCACTGTCTTGTGGACTAGGCCACTAGGTAAATGACCCCCAAAGGAACCACCTTCCCCGGTCAGGGCATCCGGGCAGTATCACAGCCCACACAAATCAAATGACTTGTGTGGCGCATATGTATTCGGTGCCCCTTCGTATCAATATTTGTGTTCAAATAAATAATATAATAATTTACATGCAATGCATCAAACTTGATTGTTGTGTAATATACATAACTCTAGTGTTCATATAACGCTCGACAGCCATGAATAGTATCATTATCATTGATTTTTATATGGTTTCTGAGTAAGAACCCGAAGCTTGATGAATTGTGACCATAATCAAATAGAACGGATTGTATTCGCTGGACCTTGTCTATCAAGCCTTCTTGTTTCTTGAATACAAAATGTTCGTGCACAGTCGATATTAGGAGGATATGGTGATGATATAACGTGAAATGTGTCGAATTACCACTTATTTCCCACATAAATTTTTTGTAACGCTTTTATATTTACTCGTTATTATTTGAAATTACTTTTGGCTTGAAAAACAAAATTATGCGTCTCCCTTTCTTTTCGTTAATGTTAATTAATGAAATAAAGGTCTACTGATAAGCCAACACCGGATTCGAGAGGTATTCATTCCCAATTACCTACCAATAAATTGAAGGCAACAATTGATTTTGGCAAGAGTAAACATTTAAACATTGAAACATTTCAAGCTCCAGTATGTTCTAAAATTGACAATGATTATTCAGTAAATACAACATATCAAGTGAGATAATTCTCCTGAGTAATTATTTCATATACTTGTTTTAGAGTTTGTTTCATTATTGATCGTGTTTTGAAAATCATTTGTAAGACTTGTTGATAGTTTGTACTTTGTGCTTGTTGATTTATATTGTGCACATGCTGGAACAACAGCACCTAACCTTGAACACCATCGTGCCTAACATCGAAGATGATTTGTAGAAAGTTTAAAGAGGTTTGACCATTTCATTGCATCAACCTATAAAGTGATTGTTGGTATTAGCTATGTTAAGGTGTCCGGATTACATTCTTGGATGTTGGCTGTTTCAAAATGCCTTTCCAGGAATCTTTCATTTCCATAATGTGTGTAGATTAAAAGCGAAACAACTCACGAGTTGATTTTTTAAAAACTAAATCAACCTATAACTACTTCCTTTAGCTGACGAAAACCTCATAGCTACTGTATGCATATATGTATATCGATCATTGTACTTCGAAACATCAAGTAATTAACCTTTTTTCACTTTTTACTGTGCATGGAATGTCAATTTTACTCAGTTTGTTTCATTGAGTTATTTATTAAAATATCTGGCAATTTTCATGTAGAGTCTTCATTAACATCCTTCTAGTCTTGAACATATTCATTAAAACTTGTTAAATATATTTTTTCACTTTACAAACTGTTACCATACCACATGGTTTGAGCCAACAATACTGTCAGTTAGTCAGTCATGTAGTATTTAAAAATGTAGTAATATTTTAATTATGTTTCTTTTGATCATAGTGTTATGTAGAAAGTGAATGCTATCAGCTAGGTATAACATTTTTTATTAGGCTGTGAGTTTAATGTTGTTTGATGTGATTCTGTATAATTAGGATATAGTCGTCTGCATAATCAATGAATCGCCAATAATATAACACTTAGCACCAGTTTGTAACGGTTCCAGTTATCATAACTGATATTAGCATAGTGAGAGAGGAAATCGATAAATTGCAAAGCTAAGTGAGTGAATCGGTTAGCTTCAAATTCAGTGGACGTTTGAACATATGAAATATAGCCTAAAATAATTTTTTAGAATTTAGAGTTCAATATAACACTTGCCTCAAGATTTAGAGGAGAATGAAGAATTAATACTACTGTACCACATCACCAGCTACTCGAACCACTGATCTTGAGGGCCATCCAACCAGATAGTCTTCCGATATGACACATTAACAATTAATAACTTCATGTACCCGTTCCGTATCATGAATAGTTTAGCTGTGGCTTTATTCTAACCTGGTTCTATGTTAGATAGCATTGGATTTCAAGGTAGATGGTAACTATTTATATGTTAAACATGTCTTAACCATCTCATTCGATACAGATTTGTAGCTTTGTTAGTCGAAATAGTTCTTTTTTTGGACAGTATTCTAGTTCTCACCTCTTCATTGTTTGCTGTACGGTTACACTATATATGAGTAATTATTCAAAAAAACCTGTGACCGAATCCTTAAAGCGTAAGTATATTTCCCACCTTCGTAAACTACATGGATTAATGGAAAGGAAGCTGCTATGCAACATACTCGCTGTTTGATTTTCAGACTGAGATATTGCCTGTACTATAGTTGGACAAGTTTGTCCTAGTCAAAGTATTTTTTTCCCAGTAGTAGTATTACGTAATTTTTCTTAAGATGAAGTTAATATCTGTTGTCTTCGTTCTATTTTGAGATGAATAATATTTATAACCAGTTGGCATTTGATGATCAACCCGGCGGTGTGTGGACTCAAGGATTTCCGATTGAATATAAAATGGATCAGTGGAAGGATCAACCATTAGAAGTTTTCATTGTACCGTTTTCACATCACGATCCAGGTACTTCCAAGAGTTTTTTCTGTGATAATGAATTCTTTCCTTAAAATATTGAGTTTATTTGTGAGCAGTTATAGTCGAACAATTACGATTATAAGATTACATTTTGTTTTTAACCGACTAATTAAGAACATATACACCGTATGTAAATAAACCTGATGTATGTAATACAATTACTGGCTAATTGGTCTCTGAATTCTTTGTACTGTTTGTTTCATTGTTTAATTTACTAATAAGCAACTCAATAAAGAAATTAAGACAATCCATCGAGAAAAACCTTTTCGATGATGTTATTTATTCAAGCTGTTTTATTATAGTGACTGGTCATGCTCTAGTGCTCTCTCATTTGTGACTCTTACCTGTCCAAATTTAAGTCTAATACGATCAATAGTTCGATTCTGGAACACTTAGTCAAATTTAATTATGTAGCCTGTCCAAACAATGTGAATCAAAATGAATAAATACCGAAAATCTTTACTTAGCAAAATCGTTGGCAAATCATAATTTTACATCGGATCTATACGTTTGAAAACGGCGTGTTCAAACTTTCGTTTTCACCTAGTAATAATCATAAATCCCTTCTCAATTTAGAAGTTATTACCCCTTATTATTAAATCATTCTACATTTTCTCGGTAATTTTCTAGTGAACAATCATCTTTTATATAATAATCTGTTTCTAACTTTATCATTTTACATTATCATTTTGTCCATTACGTAATTTTTTTGCTGATACTTTCTATCATAATATCTGTTTGTTATATTGTATACTATATGGGTACTAATCAATCTGTATATGTAATTATACAACCCTAATGAATAACATTGCTGGAAAGAAAATCTTGTTTGTATTTCAAAGAAAATACTGTCATAGAATTCTGATACGCTGAATGAATCCAGATATATCAATTACCTGTACCCACATCATGGTTTAGGGCCTCTAGAGTAGATGAGAGATATTGATGGAGCCACGCTATTGGTTAAAGTTGTTTATACAATTCGTCAAGGTTTGTATCATTGTTCTAAGCAATATATTTATATCAATGGGTTGCGTACATCTTAATTCAGTTGTTCTTAGTCTGTTCACTTACGTACGAGATCGGGCTCGAGCACAGGAATGCTTGAATATCAATATCTAGTCGAACAACCTCGGAATATAGCAAACTCACATCTTAAAACATATGATAATTAATTCTCATCATCAACCATTTCTTATTTCTATCCAATGGATTTTTCCATATACATGATCTTCCTCTATTTGACATATTCTAAAGTTGTTTTCTTTTACGTTTACACTATTTTCTTTTTTTAGGTTGGGTTAAAACTTTTGAAAGATACTTCGTCACTGAAACAAAGCCTATTCTAGATGCTACGTTAACGACATTAAGCGAAAAGGAAGAATCTAGGTTTGTCTATTCTGAAGTGTCGTATTTAGATTCATGGGTAAATACTTTATCAGAGGAACAAAAACAAGCTTTCAAAAGGTGGGTAATCCTAATTTATTTGTGAATGATTTATATATATATATATATATAGCTTCAGACCACTATCTGGTGGTCGCCAAAAGGAAACTGAAGCTAAATAAGCAATGGACAACTGGGGAAACAGCATTACAAAGGTTCAATACTGCCTTCCTTCGAGATACTGACAAACTCAACGAATTCAAGGTAGATCTCAACAACACACTCCAAACCTTACACGATCTACTGAAAGAAAAAGAAACTACTATGGAGGACGATTGGAAAAGGATCACAGAAGCACTAACTTCGACGTGTCAGGAGGTTCTAGGCCTCATGAAGCATCATCACAAGGAATGGATCTCTATATAAACCCTGCACAAGATTCAAGAAAGGAAGAACAAGAAGACAGCAATTAATAACAGCCGAACAAGAACAGAGAAAATCAAGGCACAAGCTGAATACACAGAAGTAAACAAGCAAGCTAAGAGAAACAGACATAAAAGTAACTACAAACATGCTCCACGTTCTTTTCAGGAAGATTTGGGCGGAAGAACAAGTGCCGATGAACTGTAAAGAAGGACACTTCATCAAGATACCGAAGAAAGGAGATCTGAGCAAACGTGATAACTATAGACGAATCACACTACTATCAGCACCAGGAAGGTTTTTCAACAGAATGTTTTTGAACCGGATGAATGATTCAGTAAGCGCCTAACTTCGAGATCAATAGTTCGGTTTCCGTAAGGATCGATCGTGCACGGACCAAATCACAACACTACTGATAATTGTTTGGCAGTCATTTGAAAATATCCTATTATTCAAAAAAGATTTCATATGTTTTCTTTTACAAAATCTTATAGTCTTTATACGCTATCTATGCATATAATTTCATCGCCTTATATTACCGATTCTGATTGATTCACAATTTCTATTTTGTTAACAATTTGTTTATTCACTTCATAGATTGTTGCTCAATGGACATTGGGAAATTGTTTCAGGTGGCTGGGTTATGCCAGATGAAGCAGTTACGCATTATTATCCGATTATTGATCAATTTATTGAAGGTCACCATTGGTTATTAGAACATTTTGGTTAGTTTTTTTTCCCAAGAAATTGCCAAATTAAAGTTGTTTGTTAATGCTGGAATATTTATTATGTGTACGTATAACTAACCTTTGCCTACTTACCTTAATGAGTGGTTTCAACTGGTAAAAGAGTAAGTTGAGCCAAATCTATCAGTGGTAAAACAAAAACTCAAGCACCAGTCCCAACAATAATCGTGATTAGTGGTTGAAGACATTGGATGGCATTCGTTTAGAATTCGTTGCAGTGGCTAAGGTGCCTTCACTTACTACCTCCCTTATGATTTTGAGTTCCAGTATTCTATCATGTATACCTTTTTGTTCCTTTTTTTCGAAGTGTTTTCTCAATGTTTAGTCTTTCTCATAATTATTGGTACTCCATTATTGCTACTCTGTTTCTATTCATCTTGCTAATCTTATCTCGTTTTGCTAATATTGTTTGGGGAATTGGGCCAACTATTATTCGTGCCAGGATCTACGTTGATTATGATTGACTATGGTTTTTTAAATATGTTGCAAAAGTTTTGATCAAAATAGATGGAATGTGGCTAGCAGTAGAACCCAAGACGTTGGTTTCGTTTTATTTGGGACTCGTCATCAGGATGTACTCAAATCCCAGAGTTTCTCTCCTAGATTCCACTGTTAACTATATTCCATCTATTCTATAATGGGTGTATCGAGACAATCCACACAGTATTCACATATGTCAAATTTCAGTTAAAATATGAACAACAGGATCACTCAAACCATTTCAAATTGTATTAGTTATTATTAGTTTAGTAAAGACATAATCTACATCTATAAAGTAATAAACTTCTGATACATAGAGGAGTCTTATCTCCATATTTTTCAAAATATAAACAAGTTAGTATTCAAATGTAACGTTTTTCACATTGTTAGATAGGAATTTGACTGAAATATGTATGCGTTAAGTAGTTGAATCTTAGGTATTGTACTAGCTAGTGTAAATGTTCATAAATACTTCTAAATAAGTACAATAGTAGTAAATGGTGATTGTTTTTCTTTTCAATTAAGAGTTAAAGGTTAAAACATTCCATTACAATGTGTTTCGAAGCTGCTACCTTGACGCGGTGGTCGGGCTTGCCTATCGTGATGACCCAACCGAGCTATATTGGCTGGAACATATGTTCCTGCAGGTTCTACCATGCCAGGCAGGTCGATTGGTGAACGGTAAGACTAAAAGCAGCAACTCAAGGTCTGAGGGCGAAGTCGTACTGCTGACTGTAGAGGGGTGTGACAGCAGTAAGGTGTTTCCCTCGGACATCCAGCATGACAGCGATGCTGCCTTCCCACAAGGAGGGGTGGGGTTAGAAAAGGTCGACCCTAAAAATGTCACACCTCACCTTACCTCACGGATTTCCGTCTCCGGCGGTAAGGCCCTTTGAAGAACGGAGCTAACACGTCAAAAATCTTCCACAAAAAGGCCGTGCGCGACCGGCCTCAAGCAGTTGTCCCTTGGGCTCTGCGGTCACGCTCCCAGGTCGTCAAGACCAACACTAATCCAATTTCCTTTTCAGGTTCCTCAAGAAATACCCTTCCACGGTGTGGGCAGCCGGGAAGTGATATCAGCCCTCATACCCGTAACAGCACAAGAGACCAAGGTGGTCACATTCAAATCTTTCCTACACCTTCTAATACCTCTCTTATCTCCCCGACTAACCCTCCCCACGTTTCTTTATCACCTCGCACCGCTAGGGCAAACGATTCGAATACGTGGAACGCTATTCCTGGTCTCCTGAAACCACGCTCTAAACTACACGTAGGAGCTTTTAACGTACGAACACTTTGCCAAATAGGACAGCAGGCTTCATTAGCTAGGACTTTAGAATCTCGCGCCATCGATGTGTGCTGCGTCTCCGAAACGCGCATACAGGATCCAAGTAGCGTCATTCATTTGACCTCACCAAGCCAAAATAAAGAGCCGACTCGATTTACGCTTCGTGTATCTGGGAGCCCTGATTCTGCTTCCCGCGGCCTTGCCGGCGTAGGTATAGCATTGAGTCCTAGGGCAGAAATAGCTCTCTTAGAGTGGATCCCAGTAGACAGTCGTTTGTGCGCTGTCCGACTGAACGGAACAGTAAGAATCCGGAAAGATAGGGACACTCGTCGTTGCCTCTTCGTCGTCTCTGCCTATTCTCCCACTGACTGCAGCTCAGATGATGTAAAAGATGAGTTTTACAGAAAGCTTTTGGACCTTCTCCGAAAAGCTAAGCGCTCGGATGTAGTAATTGTGGCCGGCGACTTTAATGCTCAAGTAGGTAAACTAAGCGATAGGGAGAGACACCTGGGTGGATCTTACGGTGTCGTGGCTCAAAGAACAGATAATGGCGACCGTCTGTTGCAGCTATGCTCAGATAACCGCCTGTTCCTTGCAAATACTAACTTTAAACATAAGGAAAAACATCTTTTAACATGGAGACCCCCTAATTCGTCCCAACGTTGGACCCAAATAGATCACATCGCTATCAGCCACCGATGGAGGGGCTCGATAGAAGACTGTCGCTCATTCTGGAGCACATGCCTAGATTCAGATCATGCTCTAGTGCGAGCGCGTATTTGCTTGCGTCTAACTGGACGTAGGAAAGACACTGCAAGAAAACCTCTTAGGGGCCTACTTAATGATAGTCAAGCTAAGAGTATATTTCAGGAACAACTAGGAAAACAGTTAGGCAGCCATGTATGTGATGCCCACCCCGATGCAGCATGGAATGATATCCAAAAAGCTGTGGAAACAGCAGTGATATCTGCTAGTAAGGTAAACCAGAAGGTTAGGGAGCAACACTGGATCTCAGCAGCATCTATCTCACTGATAGATGCTCGGAAACTCATTCCACCTGGCTCTGAACATAATGAAGAGCGGAGTCAGCTTAAGCGCAAGCTGACCAGAAGCCTACGCAACGATCGCGAACAGTGGTGGGTAGCGAAAGCAAGACAGATGGAAAAGGCAGCGGCAATAGGTAATAGCAGACAATTGTTCAGACTCGTTAAGGAAACCGGAATTAGGAACCCGACCGTTAGCGAAACAATCTCAGAGAAAGATGGACATATTATTCATTCTCAATCCAGGAGATTGGATCGATGGGCAGAACACTTTAGGGATCAGTTCAACTGGCCTTCAGCCACACTTCGGTTTCCCACGATCTCTAGTCAACCTGAATGGCAAGTTAATGTAGGTCCTCCGACTTTTTACGAAGTTGAAAAAGCCATAGGAAATCTGAAACGAGGGAAAGCAGCAGGCCCTGACAGGTTTACTCCTGAGATTTTTAAGGATGGTGGTCCAGTATTAGCAATGAGATTAACCGAGGTCTTAAGTAGAATTTGGGAACTGGACGTAATCCCATCTGACTGGTCTCAATCAGTGATTGTGCCAGTCTATAAGAAAGGACAAAAGTCCTCTTGTGACAATCACAGAGGAATCAGTTTGACTAATATAGTGTCTAAAATATTAGCTTCAATAATACTTCGACGCCTAATCAAAGCTCGTGAAGAGCAGACTAGAGAAAATCAGGCTGGTTTTCGACCTGGACGTGGTTGTATAGATCAGATATTCACACTACGTCAGGTTCTAGAACACAGACACACATTCAGACGCCCCACAATGGTAGTATTTCTCGACCTTAAGGCGGCATTCGACTCTGTTGATCGTGAGGTTCTATGGCAGTGTTTGTCACTGAAAGGAGTACCAAAGAAGTACATTAACCTTATAAAGGCTCTCTACTCGAACACAACTGGTAGAGTGAGAGCTTATGGCGAACTGTCATCAGAATTAATTACCTCAAGTGGTGTTCGTCAGGGCTGTCCACTCTCCCCATTCTTGTTCAACTTTGTCGTGGACATACTTCTAGAGATAACACTTTCCTCATCTAGATTTCCAGGGGTTGAACTTCTACCGGGAGGTTCACTTGTTGACTTAGAATATGCTGATGACATAGTTTTATTTGGTGAAGACGCTGACAAAATGCAGAGTCTTCTGACCACTCTAAGCAACAATGCAAGCATGTTCGGGATGAGATTCTCTCCCTCGAAATGCAAAATGTTGCTTCAGGATTGGGTTACATCGACACCCGAACTAGTGATAGGGAGTGAAGTAGTTGAGTGTGTCGACCGCTTCACTTATCTTGGAAGTCTGATCAGCCCTTGTGGTCTGGTGTGTGACGAAATCTCAGCACGGATACAGAAGGCTCGACTAGCTTTTGCCAACTTGCGTCATTTATGGCGTAGGCGAGATATCCGTCTATCAACCAAAGGACGTGTTTACTGTGCAGCAGTTCGTTCCGTCCTACTTTATGGCAGTGAAACATGGCCGGTAAGAGTAGAGGATATCCGTAGGCTACTAGTATTTGATCATAGGTGTCTTCGAAACATTGCTCGTATATCATGGGACCATCGAGTAAGTAACACAGTTGTTAGGAAACGGGTACTAGGTAAGGATGGCAAATCAATTGATGACGTAGTGAAACTTCATCAGTTGAGATGGCTGGGACACGTGTTACGTATGCCCAACGACCGACTGCCTCGACGTGCTATTTTCAGTGGTATAGGAGTAGGTTGGAAGAAAGCTAGGGGTGGCCAAACCAAAACATGGCACAAGTCCATGAAGTCACTGACAAGTGAACTGAGTCATGTTGGTAGGTGTAGACTACCTGGTTGGGGACCGCGAGATGATAGCAACCGATGGTTAGAGACCCTGAATGACATGGCTCAAAATCGTTTGCAATGGCGCAGGTGCATCCACTCTCTGTGTTCTCTCAAATTCTAATCTTCTGAATTCTTCATGTCCCTTTTTTCCTCTTTCCAAATTTATTTCACTGGATTATACTCTATAAATAACATCTCCAAACCCTAATCTTCCCGATTACTGCTTATACTCTTGCTACCTCTACCACTATGGGATTTGAATGGACAACTGCATCTCTGTGCTAATGTGGTGTGGCAACTCGAACTGATGTACGTACGTACGAAGTTCTACGTTGATACTGACTGACTGACTTTATATTAAAAATCAATTATCTGTATATATGAATACTGAAAGCTAATAAATTAAAGAATAGTATTTTTAATGGTTAATACTAACTATATACCACTATTTATGAAGTGAAACCAACTATTCTTTTATTAACAATAACTTAAATTAACATTATGTTACTGAACAAATATTTTTTGATCATTAACTCAAATTAACATAGAGACTAGGGTAAATGATGTAGAGTTTAGAGCATTTGTTTTATCTAATTTAATCTAGTATAGAGGGGGTAGATTATTGTTTAAGGCTTTCAACTTCCGGCTACAGCCCCCGAATGTCCTGGTAAGGTCAAGGGTGGGGAGAGTTAGCTCTCCCTCTCGAAACGCTCTCACACAGCCACTTGTATAAAGCCACTGCCAGGTAAGTCCTACTCACTGACTTCTCATGGCGGGTCTGTTGTTCACGAAATTGAGAAGACGAAAAGCGAATGTCCGGCGAATTAACCGGGTTGGTGGATGTGGAGGATCCACCTAAGGGAGTTGGAAAACCGTGATTCCAAACCAATGGTGCACATGGGCTCCAGTATCCTGAAGGAACAAATGGCATATGAACCAGTCGTTGGTCGCCGGCTACCATGGGACTATATTTCCTGACGTTGCTCTACTGCCTTGTGGATCATACCTTTAGGTCGAAGGCTCGGGATGTGGCCCCCTAAGACAACCACCTGCTTTTGTCTGGACACCCTGGCAGTATCGCATCCCACACACACAAAGCGAGTGACTTGTGTGGCGCATATGTATTCGGTGCCCCTTTGTACCAATATTTATGTATTCAAATAAATAATAAATAAATAAAATCATGTACAAAATGTTGACTCTTTTATTGTCCTTCCTCTTAATTTCAACTACCAGACTATCGACCAAATGTCACATGGGCTATTGATCCGTTTGGACAGAGTTCAACAATGCCATATATAGCAAAAAAACTTGGTTTCTCTCAAATGATTATTAATCGTGTACATTATGAAGTCAAAAAGTATCTTGCTAGTCGTAAAGCCTTGGAATTTATGTGGCATCAACCGTGGGGTAAGCGAGAAAAAAGTCTTTTCAATTATCTTTTACTTCAGATATTATTGTCGCTATCTCAACACTCTTTTTCAGTTATGTTTAGTGTCAGGTTGTTTCTATCAGGATATAGACGGTGATATTGCATCGGATATCATTCAATTGATTTGCATTTTCGAAACGTGTCTTTTTCGTTACGGATCCTTGATAATATTTTACTCAAAAGCTTGCAACATAAACTGGTAAGGGTTTCAGTTTTAAAACACCTAAAAATAACACCCTTTAGCATTGCAACTTAAGGGAAAACTAATTAAGGTTGATCACATGGTCTTTTTTGTGAGTTGTTTTAACTCCGTACATTTAATGCAACTGCGGAAGTCTGCTGGGTTAGTTCAAGTGTGGTAATTTCACGACCAACATTTTCTAACCCTCTCCTTCCGTTGTATGAAGACAGCGTTGCTGGAGATGTTGGTTGTTTGAGGGGTACAGTCGAATTTACTTAGCTATGTTATTATTACTACTACTACTACCACCACCAGAAATTCAGCCTAGATTTAATGTGTACTGTTCTAAACAAGTTTATTGTCATTATAATTGATATAAGAAAACAATAAATTACACTAGAAAATGAAAAATCTATTTTTATCTATTCTTTTTAGCAAATGAACTACTCATGATATATTCACAACTGAGTGTAAAATTCACGAGTAATTTTTATCACGCTATTGTCTCATATTAATGATTGGTTTTTATTTTACAGATACTGCCGGTTCCCACTCTATCTTGGCGCATATGTTTCCATTCTTTTCATATGATGTTCCTCATACATGTGGTCCAGAGCCTGCAGTATGCTGTCAGTTTGATTTTATTCGAATGGAAAGGTACAGTTGCCCATGGAAAAAATCACCGGTCCTCATAGATGATTCAAATGTTGCTGCTCGGTGAGTAAATGCTCACAAGTAGTTGCTTTTTGTGTAATATTTTATGGTGTCATATTCGCTGTAGAGCCTGATAGATACGTACAACAGTCCAAGTTATTACGGTATATCAACACATTAAATTGGTACATAGGTACATTTTTGATACATGACTGAATAGCACATAACGATTATCATAGGGTGATGTGTAGAGATTAGTGGATTTTTTTATTTTACATCACCGACAACTAGTAAAAGCCAGGAAGCACTGAATAACCATCTCTTCCTGATATGCGACACCTCAGTAGTAGATATCTATGACCTAAGACTTTCAGACCTCATAGTGAGCGCTTAATTTTTAAACCAGTGAGTCGGCACTATTGGGCTTACTTAACTCCGTTGTTATAATGTAGCGTTTATTTTATTTAGAACATTTAGTCACTTTGACACATTTAGATAATACAATGAGAAAATGAAGTTTATCAGAACTACTGTGATGCATTAACGTAGTACATTCTGAATAGCAGTATAATCACATATTTACTTATTAAAACATCTACATATGTAAAAGGAAAAGCCAAACTAAGCGGTTTGAAAGGCGAAGGTCATTATGACAAAAGAACAACACAAATTACACCACTCTGGTTCAATATCATGAGAGTAGGTTCAGGGTGAGATTAAAATTATTTTTTAACACATCAATCGCGTTTGTGTGGCTGATAATTCAATAAGCCTTAGTGTTCATTCCTGATCGCAACACCAATAAAGCTGGTTTAATAACTACATGTCCTGTTTCAACTCACCATTTCATGATGGGGAGATGTTTGTTTATCCTACACTTTTACCAAACCATCGGAATTCATTTGTTTTTGTAACCATTTTAAGTATGTACTCAGCTACCTTTTACATACAGATCACAATATTGTTTTACCTACATATGTTCAACTTGCCTGTTCATATCTCCACAATATTCGTTTTTTTTTCTTACTAATTGTCAAATTTACAGAGCTGATATGTTAGCTGACCAGTACAGGAAAAAGGCTACATTATACAATAATAGTGGTCTAGTTTTAATCCCATTAGGTGATGATTTTCGTTATCAATCAACACATGAATGGAATGTTCAGTTGGATAATTATAATAAATTAATTCAACACATCAATTCAAATCCTAGCTATAGGATGAAAGTAAGTTTTCTGCATGAACTACTTCTTAAGATAATTCTCCTTTTTAAAATTTGTATTATGTTTACATACTACTTAATAGCACAGATTAATAGTAGTTTGAAATTAAATTGATTAATCATGTTTCAATGGTGTTTGATCTGTCTAGTTGGTTTTCTTTTAAAAGTTTAAATTTACTTTTAGTCTAATGATGATTAAATTTGTTGTTTTAAGTAAAGTAAGCAATATTTTACCACTTAAATATCGCTAAATTGACTGAAGATTCCCCACCTATTCGGATAATGTCGATGGTGTTTCAAGTTTATATGATTCATCTTGAAAATAGTTGAAATCGCAAAGCTATTCCAATTAGACTGCGGATCACTAAACAACTATTTCATTTTAGTAATGAATCTACTAATCAGTGCTTATCTACAATTCATTCGTTAGTCCCGTGGTAATCACATTATATTTATTAACCTACTCCGTTGATATTAAACAGTTCTCACTGACACATCTGTCAACTTTCCATATTGCTTGATTACTGTCCCTTACCGTTGTTATGGTACTAGAACATGACTCTATAATAAAGTCAAAGGTACTAAGTATCAACCCAAGAATGAAATCTTACAACTCTCTTGGGAGCGGCGTAGGTAATGAGAAGCTATCAAGAGTTAGACTATAGATTGATTCGCTATGATAATTGTTTAGTCTAACATTTGATTGTATTTCGACAATTTCAGTTATTCATGATTTCACTATGTTATGCTATTATATTCTGATAATTTCTCGTTTATTTATATTCGTCCAGTTATGACAATTGTTTAGTACAAAGTTTGTTATAATTATTTAAATGTATTACGTAATCACTATCAGTAGTACTTTTCCATTAAATGTATTCATCGTAGATTAGGCTTTGTTTTCTTAATAGTTGAGTGCTGGGTCTTCTCTTTTTGTTCAACTTACTTCGATCTCAACTAGTATTAAATCCAGTTTTACAATAAAATGGATGTGTATATATATACACGAATCTAAATGCATATTGAGTGATGAATAACCCAGTTTGATATTTGTGAATTACTAGATCACATTAAAAGATTCCTTGCCTATTTTGAGATCATAGAGTGAACGGTGTTGAGGTTAGATGCAGAGTACTAGACATAGATGGTAAATAGTTTGATAAGATGATTAGTGTTCGTTGAGTGAGAAATGCAATAGGTCTTGGTTATATGGACACTCCATGCTTTCCGGCATATGTGTGGTTTAAAAGGAAGCTAGGTTCGATCAAACCAAGACATACCATCACTTAATGAAGTCACTGACTATTAGATTAACTCTTGATAAATATATACAGACTACCTAGTTGAAGTTCATGATATTATCGTAACCAAACCATTTGAATGGCACAAATGTATTCACTCGTTTTTTTCCTTAGATTTCAATTCTAAGATTATCTAACACTTAATTCCACGAATTCATTGTTTCTTATCGAATCATATCATTACTACGTTTACCATTCTGGTATTTATCTTGGTAATTTAATCTAACTGCATTGTTTCATAGTGAAAACTTGAACTGATGGACATATGTACCATGTTGGACGTCTTTCTTTCTAACTAACTGATTAACCGAATTTCAGCATATAAATTGGTGGTATGAGTTTACTTCTTGTTATAATAATGATTTAGAAACAGATTCTCAATGTGTTGTTTCTGTATTCAATACTTTCTTTTGTAATTAACCTGTCTACATTTGTTATCTTCAATTTTCCCTATGAATAGATACGTTTCTCTACATTATCCAATTATTTTCATGCATTAAATGAACGAGTAAACAAAATGAACTTAGCACTTTCTGCATCATTTCCATCATTATCTGGTGATTTCTTTACTTATGCAGATCGACAACATGACTATTGGACTGGATATTACAATTCATATCCTTATGAAAAATTTTTATCACGTTTATTAGAATCTGAGTTAAGGTATGTTATTATTTTTTGAGCTAACAGCTCAATGACTTATTTTGTGTGTTCTGACTGAATGTGATAGTTCAACTGTTTCATTAAGAATCATATATCAATAATAACGATCTATAGATTTAGAGTGAGAACAGGAAAAGAAATGCAAAATATGAAATAGTCTATTATATATATGTAGCTCCTAAAGTTACGTCTGTTTACACTCACTAGCAAATCATGATTTACTATGAGTGAACATGTCAACTTATTTGCAAGTTTGGATCTTGCCCCATTTTATATTCAGGGTACACTTAGCTGTTGAACAAAAAATATATAGATCAAAGTTTTTTTTTAACATCAAAATACACTTGATTATGTAACTATCGTAAACTATTATTAACACGGAATCTTATCTATCTCAAGCAACAATGATGTATTGAATAACTTAAATATTAACACTTCACTATTCTAGTAGATAGTCAAATATATTTAAGTAAAAGCAAGGAGTTAGTCAGTTAAATTCAGTGATAATTTTTGTTATAACGTCAAATTTCCATGTAGACAATATTCTTAAAGATTATCACTCGATGTGTGATCACTTCAACTAACAATATTTACATCAAAGAGTAGGTTATAAGGAAGTTAGGGGCGACCAAACTAAAACGCTGCTTCTGTTTGCAAGTTCATTGATCGTTTATATGAACCATGTTTTTGGAATCCGCGTGATAACTGAGACCGGTTTTTGAAAACTTTGGGTGACTTAGTTCAGTATCATTCACAATAGCTCAGATGCATTCATTCATCTTCTGATCTTTTATCCCTTCGTACATACTTTCCCACTCTATCTTTTCAAACGATATTCTAAGAGTTTAATCCTTTTTTATCATTACTACACTATTTAAAACACTGTTTTTATCTCGTCATACTAATGTGCTATGGGAACCTGAGCCAACACACATCATTGCCAGGCTGTATGTTAACGAACTAACTAGCTAGATTAGTTCGTCGCTGATTTTGTCCAATAATGTATATAACAGTCTGAACGGAATATACTATTCTAATTAACTGGTAGTAATCAGAGTTAACCCTTGATTTGCTGTATACCAGGTCTTTAAAAATAAACGATATTCGTCTTACTGATTTGTTCTCTGTTTTGTTAAATCTTTTCTTCTTTTTTAAACATAGAACAGCTGAAATACTTTACAGTTTTGCTAGACAAAGTGTTGGTCGTATACAAAGCGTTGCTCAATTAATACCATTAATTGCGAATCTTTATCAGAATCTTACAACAGTTCGACGTAATCTTGGTTTATTTCAACATCATGATGCAATACCTGGTACAGCACGACCGGAAGTAATGCTTGATTATTCAGAAAGGTAAGACATTTGTTTTATTTGGAAACAAATATTGATTCATTTCCAATAGTCGCATATGTTATCTAAGCTAAATGGTTTAATCGCGGTGCTATCGTTGACATTCTGTACAACGTCATCAATGCTGAATCATAAACAAAACCGTTAGGTTTTGTGAGAGAAATATGAAGCTCACTTCTACATGAAGTAAGCGCTGATAATGTTGTCTAGAGCGAAAATCAAAGCTCCTCAATTAAACCAATTAGCTTTGAGAACACAACACCATTAAACCCATGCAACTGAGTTACAAATCCTCATTATTTCAGTATTCATTATTTTTTATTCTTAAATTATCTTTTGCCTAGTCAAAAGTAATGTTAGATGGTTTCAGGCGATTAGTGGGACTAACCTTACACCTAGTTATTATGTTCGTTTTTATAGGTATGTTGTATTTGTAAATGTTAAACAACTAATGTTTCTCGATTTATAAATTGGACTGGCGTCACCAATATATTAATCAGAGGCATCAACATTGAATTATTTGGACCAGTACCGGTCACTTTTAATCACTCACGACTCTTCTATGTGTCTATAGATAAACTCCAACAAGAATTTCGATAAATGAACATGCAGTTTTCAGATCCTCAAAATTTTAAGGTTTAAAAATTTTCCAGTGACTTGGCGTTTAGGTTTATTTTGGCCCGTCTTTAGCTACCCAAATTGAGATGTCAACGCAATGAGTGCGCACAACATCAAATACTGTTCAAATGAACGTGTACAATGTTTTAAGTGATCCTCTAACTTAGCCCGCTCACGACTATTGAGAAGTTAAAAAGGTGAAAGGTTTCTTCCATCGAACCGATGGTAATACATACATAGATAGTTTTTCTAATCTTTCTTTGAGAAACGTATACTGTATCTGAGATTTAGAGTAATTGTCGATATGATCTTACAAGGTTGTCCATAATAAAAATCTCTGTATTTCTTTATTTTTGTTCCGCGACCCTGAAATTGCTGTTTCAAAATCGATTTATGCGTTGCTACATAGTATTTTCAGGTTTACGCGTTTTTGTGAAAACAGCAGGGCCACCAATGTTTATTCATTCGTATTTTTTCGAAACACTTTCGGTCAGTTTTTGAAAGCCGTCTTCATTCGAATACGGTTATGCTTTTTGCATTGGTGTTTTCCTTGCAATATATTGGAACAGTTGCAAATCTGCCAAATAATTAGTTCATACGATCGGTATATATATATATATATATATATATATATATATATATATATATTCGGAAAGTTGGTCAGGCCCGTGTACAAGATTTTGTATCAATATCGAAACTCGACACTATGACACAGCGGTTTCTGTTACTTCACGCCTTCCATAAGACCTGAAGTTTCTGGATTCAATCTCTTGTGGTGTCATGAATTCCTATACTAGAACGAAATAGCTATTTAATGCTTTGTAGTTTCCAGTGTTTGTTCAACCATAATCAGTCTATGGTGTGAAATTTCAGATCCAACAATTTCTCACATAAATTAATTTCATATCTCAGAAACATTTTCTCCTTTTGTTTGTTTTTTGAATATCCTGTTTTTTTGTTCCCTCACAGATTATTGAGAGCTGTCGATGCGGCACGAAAAGTTATTACAATCTCTAGTGCTTATCTGCTACTATTACCATCAATGTTAAAATCAGATATTGAGTTTTCGAATAGACGACGTCTACCTGTCTCCAGTCAGTTTAAACAAACGTTAATTCAGTTAAATGATGAATTTGAGAGAAAAACCGATAATAGCAGTGATAATATTTCACATGGTTTCTATTCTCTAGAAGATAATTTACATCATCATCAATATTCAGAGCCAATTTTAATTGATTTCTTTGAGAATAATGGTAATGCTGATGTTGAAAATACTCGGTTAGTTAACAATCTAGTCAACTGATTTTTTTTTCATACAACCAGATCCTTTGATGAATTGTCTCTTGTTTCTTTTTTTGCTTTGAATTTTCATCGGAATTTAAGTCATTTTTTTCTGTCTTTACATTCATGTTTCATACAATTAGATCGTTTGATAAATTTTGAACAACGAATCAGTTCAACAAAGTTTGTAGAATAAAATGAATTTATCTATCTATTTCACGGTTCCTCATCATCTGCGTACAATCTGAAATTATAATTATGAATATAAATATAATAATTATTATTCAGGAGAATAGGGACATAAAATGTATGAATAAACACAGTTAAGATCAATGTGTATTTCGATATTGTGCAGTAATAATTAAGAGATTATGTAAAGGTAGTGAAATTAATAATAAGTGATTGAGTTAAGAGGAACCCCTATTGACCATGGCCGAGAAAGACTAATCACATTTCCCTTCAGTATATGTGGGTCAAATTTATTTATCTATTTATTTAGACACATAAACATTGGTAGGAAGAGACACCAAATAGATATGCGCCACATAAATCATTCGATTTATGTGAGGGCCGGGATACAGCCCGGATGCCCAAATCGAAGCAGGTGTTTTTTTTAGGGGGCCACACTCCAAGCCTTCGACCTAAACGTCTGGTCCACAAGGCGGCAGTAGAGCAACGTCAGGAGGTGCAGTCCCACGATAGCCGGTGACCAAAGATTGGTTCATACGCCATTTTTCCCTCAGGATCCTGGAGTCCATGTACACCATTAGTTTGAAATGAGGTTTTCCAACGACCCTAGGTGGGATACAGAGAATCCACCTAGGGTCAAATCAGAAATATTTGACATTTTATGTTGTGTTTAATAAACACATAATTGGACAATTTGTAAGATTGTCTATTTTAAGTCTATAGTTGTGTCAATACACAGTTTGTGTACACTTATTCGACAAATACCGACTTTATTCACATAAATGTTTTCTCGCATTGATATTTTAACAATCATCAATTTTTTTTGTATCATTTTTATTTCTGTTTCACTCTACTACTCTTGGTTTTTCTTTTTTCTTTTTTTTTTTTTTTTTTTAATAATAACCACAGTCGTATTTATATTTTCAATCCGTCAACTCGCAATCATAGTAAAATAATCACATTACATGTGAAAAGTCATCTAATGAATTTTAAAGCTAAACAGATTATTTCAAATTCTATGGAAATATTGGATCATCAGTTAAATATACAATTAGAGCATAGTTCAACAAATGTACCAAATGATTTTCAACATGAACAACAACATGTTAGTTTGTTATATTTAAGTCCAGTTAAATTATATCCTCTGTCATTTACATGTATTGAATTGAAATTAACATCAATGCCAACGTCATCTTCTATGTTACAAGTAAATCCACAATTAATACCAGTTATAAATGATGCTGAGATATTAGTTCATAAGTGAGTTTTGATTTGTATCAGTTTTTGTGTATTATGTGTAATGTTGGTAAGATTATGCTCTTGTACACGGAGTAATAGACGAAATGAGTATAAGTATGCTAAGTATTAGGTTAAACTACTATGTTGACATAATTTACTGATGATACTTTGCTTTGTTTTAAACAAAATTTGTTTAGGAATAACAATTGAAACAAATAATTGTAAAAAAAAATTGTTAAGAAACTAATCGCAGTAGTTTAACTTGGGTCTAGTTAATGATATCCAATTAAATTCTCTAGACATAGATGTAACGTATCTCACTTTAAATTGTTGGCTCTTATTAACCATAGTTTAGTTAATATTGGAACATAAGACTCGTGTTTCGTCCTCTATGGGACTCGCCAGCTAGGTGTGCTTTCTTACATCCCAATCTTAATGTTTACACTGGGACTCGAACACCGTAATATTCTTTTTTAAAGTTAGAGTATTATCCATTGAGCTAATGATTCTAGATAATCACTAAATTGTTCATCGGCTATAAAATTATATATATATATAAAGGTTTGCATTTTCCTATTGTTGCGATTCGCAATTGCATTTTATCAGTCTCGATTGGTATATATGTGTTGTCAGCGAATCACCTTGATTGTGATCTAACTAAGTAAGATTAAATCAGAATTCAAACTGTGAAAATCACATCGATAATATAAATATTCCAATGAGTTCTTTTTATAATCACATGTTATCGTTGTTATTCATTTATCTACTATTAACACTATTTGCGTTTACTTCGTTTGATTTCTCGTCCTAATTTTTCACGTTGAAGTCGTCCCCAACTTTTCATAGAGAATGATTATATTCAACTGGAGTTTGATTCTAAAACTGGTTATCTTCAAGTATGTTTTTATGTTTTAGTTCATCCTTACTCATTTTATATATTTTTTAATGTGAGTTCTTCGTAATGTTTTGTTTTAATCCATGAGTTTTTTTCGGAGACATAAGATTGTAGACTAAAATAATTGTCTATTAATTGTATGAAATGGAAATGTCTTTTCTATTGAATGACTTTACACATGCTCTATATACATGTACTGTACTGTACTGTACTGGTTCAAGTTGTCACACTATATCGCAAAAGTCAGATGAAATTACCTAGATCTGCCCCTTTTCCTTTTGTCTTGAGGCTAACGAAAAAAAATATTGCTCCAGGAATTAGAGACATTCATCAAAAGAATGAATAGCACTCGGGAGCAGCTGGAAAGTCGAGTCCACGACAGAGTTGATTGGAAAATCCTGATCGGTGGCTTATGCTCAAATAGGCGTAATACGCGTAACCTGACCTGACTTTCATTGACAGTTGATAAAATCATCAGCACCTCACTTCAATTAAAAGTGAACTTCTGAAAAAATTATTCCGTAAATGCTAAGCCATTCTAACCTGATTATTACCCGTCACTTTGCAGAGCTTTAAAATAAAGTATATTAATCTTTCCTGTTTCATTTCTTGTATAGAAAATGTTGAATAAATTAACTGGACAATCTGTGGAGATGAAAATTAACTTTATACAATATAAAAGTTTAGAAGGTGATTCACATAGTGGCGCTTATTTATTCATCCCTAATGGATTAGCTGAAGTAAGTGAAATTTCCCCGGGATATATAATAATAATAATGGTAATTTACACATGGCTTTTTTCTGTAGGTCAGGATTTATTGGCCATCTAATTCTGCTGAACTAAATGCTTTTGGACAGTTGAAATAAATTATCCCGTTTGTGTATATGGAATGAGTGGGAAAAAAATCATTTATTGCCATTTTTAGTAAGGTTAGATATTGACTGCCAATGTGATACGGGCAAGATACACGTTTCGTTTAATTTGAGACTCATCAGCCGAATGTTCTTGTATCCTAGTGTTGATGTTCACGCCGTTCTCAGTTGATAAAGCATTGAAAAATTAAAGTGAACGGTTCTAGGTTCGAATCCCATCGTGGATATCGGCTCTGAAATACATGTGCATCCATCTGGCAAGTTCCGAATGGGGATAAAAACCTCGTCCTAGATTCCACTGCTAGCCATTTTCCAAATTTACTAGGACCTGTAAATATCTGGCAACATCGAAGCAGTCCATCTAGAATGCATATATGCCAATGATTACTAGTTGATCGGAATAGTTTAAGATTTATAATGTGTTACAAATTCCTAGTAGCTGGACATTTTATTTGTGTAAACATGGCTCAGTCACACTGATGTTTAAAACATTCAAATTTTCGTTTATGAGATGTAAATCTTAGCCCTCTTTTGTTTGACCTAGCTAACTATGATGTCATCAGCCTTTCCACATTATCAAAAGTGTAAGTTAAAGCTAACTACATAAATCTGTAATTGGTGAATGAGTTAATTTGTAGATTATGTCCGCTGAATATTGATGCCAGTCGGGTTATCTTACAAATATAGAGAGCATTCAAGATTGATTTTGTTTTAGTATTGAAATCTCTAATTACATAATACGACACAGCAATCGACACAAGTTTATCATTATCTCAATAATTAATTAACTTTAAAGTTAATCAGCTCAAGTAACCAAGAAATAAAAATTATTTCTTATAATCTTTTCTCTTACTGATGTAAATCAATAGCATCTATTGGATTCATACTATTAACTATACATTGATATGATCGATATGACCTAGGAAATACGGTTTTCTTCCATTATATAAATACTTTTATGTAAGTAAATAAGTACTCTATGAACCATGGTGAATGATATCTTAATTTATGTAATTAACACTACCACCAAACCACGACGTGCAATGCTAACCGGTGTTAGAGATGGTTGGAAGAAAGTTAGGGGCGGCCAAACCAAAACGTGGCATCAGTGCTTTAAGTCCCTAACTTCTAGTCTGAGCCGTATTGGTAGATGCAGACTACTTGGTTGGGGTCCACGTGACTATCGTAACCAATGGATGGAGACTCTGGATGACATGGCTCAGAATCGATCACAATGGCGTCGGTGTATACACTCTCTGTCTTCCCTTAAACTAAGAGATTAAAATCGCTTCATATCTTTCTTTCTACGAACTAATTCTTTCTTTCTGTACTACATCCTTATATGCAATCTTTCTTTATATATTACCACCTCTGAATTAACTACTTTTATGAATCCGGTGTCCATCTTGCTGTGCTAATGAGGTATGGCAACCTGGACCGATGCATATATATACCTGGTCCTACGTTGTAGCTGACTGACTGACTATCACCAAAGTTTAACAGTAACTGGATACCATATTGATACAAGATATTAAGTGTGATGAAAATCATTTATATTTGAGATTATTTTAGTGCTAAAAATTCAAATATTTCTAATATTTTATTCAGCAATCTGCTACCAGTTTCTTCTGAAAAATAATCTATGCCAAAGTTATCAATGATAACTAGAGTGTAAAACATGTCTCTATATTAAACACTTGTCTATACACATTGAAAATTCAATTTTGTGTTTACGGTAAGGAAGTGAGTTGTTGCATGTGAGACATAAACAAAACCCAGTATATGCACGTATATGTATATAATCTGTATGTTACTGTGATTTAAAAATCCACTGAACACATGCAGCCTCGTAACATTTCACAAACTTCATCCTAATCCCTTTGGTGAGTAACGTAACGAAATAGCTATCCAGTGATTTTTCATTTTCTACAGTAGTTTGTAACATAAACGATGTTTTCTTTAAAAAATTTTTTATTTCAACACATTAATATTGGTACAAAGGAGCACCGAATACATATGCGGCACAATGATTTATTAATTATATTGTATATTTATCTTTATTTGTGTTATTAGCCTTCACCAAATCCAAAATCGTACCGTTACACTAAAGGTAATTTAGTGGATGAAGTGATAGTTTACACGCAGTATGTTAGACATAAAGTTCGTTTGTACAAATCATGTAAGTGATTTGTTTGACTGACCTCTGATAGTACTTTCTTTTTTGTTTTTCTCTACCTGTATCGCTGAAGGAATTATATATATATATATATATATATATATATATATATATATATATAAAAGTTACAAAGACTATTGGAGTTCCAATTGATGTTTGATACCGTAATTGATTAGTTCCTTTTGACATACATGGATCTTGTCCGGATCGACACGATATAGCCATTGATTTTCAAGTATTTTGAACAGAGTTGGGTGAATGCCATCATATAGTTCTAAATTCACGTTTGATGTAGGCGAATTGTCCGTCTATCGAACACAGGACGAGTATCCCGCTCAAAAGTTTGTTCTGTTCTACTTTATACTCGTAAAAAAAAGTATAGGATATTCGTACTTTACCTTTATTTTATTTTAAATAACCACAAAGCATTACTTGTTTATCTTGGGATCACCAAGTGATCACTGTTGACGTTAAACGCAGGTTAGCGATTCGTTCGATGGGGGTAGTGAAACTTCATCGACTAAGGTAGTTGGGACATGCGCTATACATGCTCAACCACCTCTCACTTCGATGCACTATGTTGGCTGAAGCAAAATAGTAACGAAATAGAGGCGGCTAAATCAAGCAGTGGCATTATTTCATGAAGTCAGTAACTGCTTTTAATTAAGTTGTTTTATTAGGTGCAGATTAATTGGTTTAGGTGTACGCGATTATCAAAACCAATGGTTAGAAATCTTCCTTTTTGAAAGATAATGTTCGATGTTATGGTTGTTTTTTTACGTTTCTGGACGTAAAGCCAATCTACCAATGTTACACGGATCCCTCTTCCTGATAGAATATCTGTTTAGTTGATTTATAGCTTTAAATACAGTTACTTGATATTAAGAACTTAGCAATAATGACTCTGACAGCAAATAACGCTTTGTATATGGCATGTTCAAATATCATTATTATCTCCTGGTCTGCTACGTTTAGAGAAATTACGATATCACCTAACACCAACGAACGGAATCAGTCATCAACACTACGACAGGACAAATTAAACTATTCCACTGCACCCCAGCCATCCTAACTAGTGGGGAAAGACCAGATTCGGTCGAGAGAAATGTATATTCTGCAAGGAGACAGAAGCACAGACGAACAAGCACACAACTCATCCGTACAAAAATGTCATTGGCAAACGTCGCGAAATAGCGTACTAAAGGAGAAAACGAACCAATGACACTTAAGGTCCTTCCAAGCGGTTGGTACTAACTGAGGGTAAAAGTGGGGGCTTTCGGCACGAAAATAGTACATTCAAAGTTTCAAATTAAAATTACAGGAATGAGGCGTTTGTCAAGTGATTTCTGGGAGTCTAGCATTCTCAACATGGTCACATAGACATAGATCCATTCATGTATTTGAGTTCGTGATAGACTGTTATACCCTACTATTCAAACCGTGTTCTGCCTCCTCCTCACTGGCTTTTTACCATGGATTTTATTATTATTTTTTTGCTTTCTGTTGTTTTTTTCTGAACATGCATCAATTATTAATTGGAAACAATAATTATAACAAAAATAATATCTCAGCTGGTTTACAATCACAGTTCATTGAGATTGAGAACATTGCCAACATAAAAGTTAGTCGTCCTACTGATATTGACATATTTATGACAATACAAACTAATCTTTTGAATAAAGATCGAGTATTCTATACCGATTCTAACTGCTTCCAGGTAATAATAATAATGGTATTTTTTTTACAATTTAATGAATTTCGTGATACCTGCTACATTTTTTGTGATTATTAAAATAAATCTTCAGAATACTTTTCAGTAATCACCCAAGACTCCATTAGATATTGAACTTAGAATCTTCAGATCTCGTGGTGAGCCCCGTAACCTAAAGACAACTGAGTCAGTATCTAATTGCATATTTGTCTAACTTCGACCAATTCGTAGTACTTCTTGACTATCTTTCATTGTCTGCGATAGATAACTGTTTCATACTCGACATGGTTCAATTCCACTGTTCATGATTTCTTTTCGAAAATCCGGGAATTACTTTACAAATTACTATGGGGACGATAAATTCTAGGATTTAAATCACCATAGACACATCATTTGGTATACCTGATGTTAACGTATAACTGCTACAAAGTCTCTCCACATGATGGTTAATTCTCAAGCGAATAGGAGTCAGTAGGAAAACACAAAGTATATTTTTCCCAACCTCATTGGCGTTTTTTCCCCTAATCATAAAAATAGTATAAAATAGCAACTTCCGTAAAAAAATTTCATAGTTCAAACTTTCATTGGTTGAGGTCGTTTAATTAATCGTTTAACCATCACGTCAAATTACTTCCACTAGTGGGTACATTCCAACATACTTGTTAGTATTCGGTCAACACTAGCGACTAGACAAGCATGACATCGGTCACTACTCAGTGGTTTAGCAGTGTAATCACAACTTATCTTTACGTCATACTGTAATAACCACGAAAATATTGAGTTTAAAGAATAGTAGGAGCTATCAAACTAAGACGTTGAGCTGTACTGAAAAATGCAAACTTGGTTTGCAGTTTGTCAAAAAATCATAATCTTGGTGGCTGTCAGTGCCAGTGAATAAATTTACCTAGTTGAAGAAAGTCAGAAGACTCCTGACTTCTATCATTTAGTACGTATCAGGTTTTGTAAATTATAAATCCTTTATACATTCAACATCAAAAACAAACAAATTACCAGTATGTTTCATATATACTAAAAATATCATATTTTGTTCAATGAATATCTGACAATTCAATTCTACTGCCTTTTCAAATCTTTTGTCTTTAGTTTATTCAAAGACAGTATTATGATAAAATTCCTTTGCAAGGGAACGTTTATCCAGTAGCATGCGGCGCCTATATAGAACAAGAAATGAATGACAGTGATGATAGAAGCCATACGAAACAATATCAACGATTAAATTTATTCACTTCACATCCTACTGGTGTAGTCAGTCCTAAAGTTGGTCAAATCAATGTATGGATTGATCGTCGATCTTCACGAGATGATTCACGTGGTGTTCAATCGAATTTGGATGGTGAATGGATTGTAAAATCACAATTACATTTATTTACTGAAATAATTTCAGTTGATAAAACTCAGAAAATAGTGAGTTTATTATTATTATTATTATTATTATTATTATTATTATTATTATTATTATTATTATTATTATTATTATTATTATTATTATTATTATTATTATTATTATTATTGAGATCATGAACCGATCACTGTTAGACTATCACTGAAAATCTGGAAGCACTGAACTACCGTTCCGTCCTAGCATAGGACTCCTCGGCAGTGCTCATTCCCCATTCCACACCCGGGATTCGAACTCAAGACGTTCAATGCTTCCAGATTTTCAATGGTGATCTAACAATCACCGGTTCGTAATTATTTTGAAGATAATTCTACTGACCTCAATGTGAATATGATATGTTCAATTATAATGACACCTTTGTTTCAACTATCTGATTAAATTATATGGAATTTATTTCCAAAGAATAGTTCACTATGAATCCATAGTTTTCGTCATGCACACCGACAATATCTAGGAGAGGAACTTTTAGAAATTAAGGAACATTGAATATAAATAATAATTAATAAATTTTTGTTATATCCCGATGTGTAGAAAAATTGTATTTCTGACGTTTCGCAACATAATGCCAGGACATTTGTTCAACGTAAATAAATAACCGAGATAAGGTTAACACAAGTTTAAATAGTACGTCTGAAATACAAACTTTCTACTCATTGGAATATAACAAAAATATACTTATTATTAACTTTCTACCTACCTATTTATTTATTTAAACACATAAACATTGGCCACACTCCAAGCCTTCGACCTAAAGGTCTGGTCCACAAGGCAATGGAGCAACGTCAGGAGATGCAGTCCCATGATGGCCGGTAACCAACAATTGGTTCATACGCCATTTTTTCCCTCAGGATCCTGGAGTCTTTGTGAGTCATTAGTTTGAAATCAGGGTTTTCCATCTCCCCTAAGTGAACTCTCCGTGTCCACTAACCTAGTTAAAGCGTCGGACATTCGCTTTTCGTCCTCTCAATTTCTTGAACAACAAACCCGCCATGAGAAGTCAGTGTGAAGGACTTTCCTGGCAGTGACTTTATACACGTAGCCATGTGAGAGCATTTTGAGAGGAGGAGCTGACTCTTCCCACCTTCGGCTGTATCAGGGCATTACTTTCTATCTAATGCTCAATTTATTTGAAACTATCAAGTTCAACCTTGGTATTGATATCTATTGAACATAATTGTTTCAGTCTAGTTCAGGACTATAGTAAATAGTTGAAATTACATGATCTATGTAGTAAAGAGGATTTATTCGGTTTGAATTGTTATAACACATGCTTTTCTAGGAAAAAATACTATTGTATAATTGTATCAACATTAAATCATTCTACCATTTTATTTTTATTTTTTTTTCTCTATATAAAAAGGCTATTCCAAGTTTGTCTATATTTTCCCAACAAATATTAAATGATCTATTAAGACCAATACATAGATTTTATGTAAATCAACCCGATTTAAATAATTTACTTGTAACAGAATATAGTTTAATACCTAAATCTGGTCTACCATGTGATTATGAATTAGTAACAATGAAAACATTTCATAATATAAAGATACCAATAAGTAAGTTATGAAATTTTGTGTTTTTATTTCTGTGGGTGATATATACTGTGTTTATATTGAAAGTGAATTGTAATTTATTTAATAAGTATTGATTGATGTTGGAAGTAGATTAGATAAAATCTTACTTACTTACTTACTTTCGCCTGTTACTACTCCCAATGGAGCATAGGCTTCCGACCAGCATTCTCCAACCCACCCTGTCACGGGCCTTCCTTTCTAGTTCTATTCAATTTTTGTTCATTTCTCTCATGTCTGTCTCAATTTCTCTGCGTAATGTGTTCTTTGATCTTCCTCTTCTCATTTGGCCTTGAGGATTCCATGTGAGGGCTAATCTTGTGACGCAGTTGGGTGCTTTCCTCAATGTGTGTCCTATCCACTTCTAGCGCTTCTTCCTGATTTCGTCCTCCACTGGGACCTGGTTTGACTTCTCCCACAGTACGTTGTTGCTGATAGTGTCTGGCCAACGGATCCGAAGTATTTTGCGTAGACAACTGTTAACAGACACATGTATTTTCTGGATGATGGCTTTCGTAGTCCTCCAAGTTTCCACCCCATACAGTAGAACTGTGTTGAAACTTCTGACCTTGGTGTTGTTTGACAATTGTTTTGACTTCCAGATGAGATAAAATCTAGAGGCGATGAAATAAAAACGGTGGTATTATTTGATAAAATCATTGACTATTGGATTCAGTTGTGTTGGTAAGAGTTGACCAACTGGTTAGTGTGTTTGTGTTTATTGTTACTCCTAATTAATGATTGAATATATTGAGTGGTATGATTTAGAACTGAATGTGTATTCACTTTTCATTTTATATTACTCACACATTATGTTTCGTGAATTCATATTGTCCATGCCTAATGTTCTCTCTACTCCTACTGATAATATTACTAATTTCACATACTCTAATATTTGTCTTAATAATTTCATCTTTCTGTGTTGATGATATAATGTAGTAACTTTAACTAATTTCGATAATATCTACGAGGTTCTGTATTGCTTATTACTGAGTATTCGTTCATTCCTTCTACATTTCATCAAACTGATAAAAGTTTTATAGTGTTCTACTGTCGATCATTCAATCGATCTGCTCAGAAAAACACAAGTAAGAACGAATATGATCTCATGAGGGTTACTGGTACTTTTGTTCCTGATAATATCCAAATATAAGTTATAACAGGAATTATTCATTACTTATTCTGTTGAACATTCTACCTTGTGAGTAATTGCTTAGGCTATGTAGGTAGGTAGCTTAATTTTTCCCATATGCACATACCTAAAACACGTTGTCTCATCAAGTTTCTTGATTGAAAACCAAAATGTAGTTATTGCAACTTAGTTCCGAGCGATTTCCAACTATTCGATTACTTTTAATGAATTCACATAGATTACATTGCGGATTGATTTTGGTTAGATAGTCATTGGAAGCTAGGAAACACAATCATTTTTTCCTAGTATAGGATTACTCAACAGTGGCCATCCATAATCTCACTGCTGCTCGGTCTCATGTGCGAACACTTAGCCTGTAGACCACTGAACTGGTATCCATTGTTGTACAAGACTAACGTCAATCACTTCTCGATTATATATTTAAACAAAGGGATACTAAAATGAATCATTAAATGTGTGCCTAAGCTGTGTTAATGCCCGAGTGCACGAATCGAAGCAGGTGATTTTTTTATGTGGACTCACCCCCGTATCCTTTGGTTCGGAGGTCCAATCCACAGGTCAGTAGAACAGCGTTAGGAGATGCGGTCTCATGGCAGCCATGAACCAACTATAGGTTCATACGCGATTTATTCTTTCAGAATCCCGGAGTTCACACGGATTATTGGTTTGAAACCAAAGTTCTCCAACTCCTTTATGTAGATTCTCCGAGCGGATCAACCTGGTTTAAGCTTTCCGTCCTCTTCATCTCGTAAACAGCACCTCTGACGTTAGAAGGCGATGAGTGGAACTTGCCTTGCAGTGGTTATATATACATGGCCATACGAGGGCGTTTGGAGATGAAGAACAGACTCTTCGCACCCTCGGCCGTACTAGGTCATTCGAGGTGATATTACATGACTGTCTTTGGTTGCCTGCAGTGAATAACTGTTTCTCATTTAAAATGAACTGTAATTTTCATTTGCATTTATTTATCTCCGTTCTATTCTATCTTTTTTACTAGAGTTTCATGCTGCACCGAATACTCAAGTTGGTGTGATTTTACGACGTCATGCACCAGTTTGTTATGCTAGAAATTTACCGAAAATTGATTTTTACTCAGAATGTTTCAATAATCATGTTGGACAAAATGAAGTGAGTTAATTGAAGTGGAAATATTCTCTGATAGCATCAAATGATTGTTATCATCCCTTTGTTTGTTCCTTGTCCATCATGATGGAAGTTTCCATTAATTATTCAGTTTATTGATATTCACATTAAATACTTAAACCACAAGATAGTCCATTTATCTTTGAGTTGTTTAGAAAATCTAAAAGATTATTTATTTGGATGGACTGTGAAGATACTTTTTCTTCTGAACTAAACTGTTAGATAGTATGTCATTGAAAACCAGTAAACACCGAGTGGATGTTTTGTCCTAGATTGAAATCCCTTAGTTAGTACGTACCTACAATTCCAAGAAGACCGTCATGTTTGTCAGTGAGTGTGTTGCACTCAAACCATAGAGTCAGATTAGATGCCACGTAACTATAATCTTAACTTCTACAACGGTCAGTCAACCATTCACTACTCTTTATTAGTAATTTCAACTTACTACAACCGTCTATTCTGCTCACATATGTGTTGGATTTCAAACTAATAATTGTTCAGGTTTCTTAAGCTCTTCTAATAAACCCAGGCTAAATCTACATGACAACTTGAATACAAGAAGAAATATGAGAGATGTGAAAAGAACGCTTTACTCCAAGGTTGGTTTATGTACAGAAAATTGACAGTATTTATGGCATTTCAAATGGACGTGGGTTTCTGGAAGGTTCTGAAACCCTACTAAACATAGTAGCAGGATAGGTAATCATCCAATCAGAAATGTGATACGTGACTCTTCACATTCTAGATGTTTCTGAGAAACTCATATTCAATGCTGATTGAGTAAAATATTCTTCCTGCGTTTTCGGTTTCCTCTGGTCTTTCTTTTTCGAGAGATACTCTGGATCTTTCCAACAGTTATCCTTTTATATCAAGACCAAAAAAAAGTTAAATGTGTGATATACTGATGGTCTTGAGTTTCTCAGTCAGAATTCAAATGTCTCATGTATTTTGTGCGAAGTTTAAACTGAAGTTATAAATACCGTGTATGTTATTAATAATCAAGTGAAAATTGGCAATGTTTGGTTTGAGCTTAATGAAAACAGCTGTTATGCAACCAAAAATTGAATTTTACGTTGTTCTTAAGCTAAATTGTATAACATACCTGCTCCTGAGGCAGGTCGTGTGTTAAAATGCTTAATTTGGTTCACTACGTAATGTTTAATGAAGCTAGATATTATTCTTTCCTTTTTACTCTCACTCTAAATCTCAACCGTAAATTTCTCAATTTTATAAACACGAAGGTTGTGAGGCATCGAGTTAAAGCAGATGTTAGTTTGTATTGAAAACCTTTACTTAATTTGTAGACCTAATTGAAAACTCTAGCTTAATTTCTTATACCTGATCCTAAACTTTTACATTATAATTAATGCCGGTGGATGGCGAAAACCCAATTAGGTGATAACCATAACTCACAGCATTAGATAAGAACAGACGCCGGTAAAACTCTGCCAACATAGAAGCCATTCAGAATATACCCGTACCAGAAGATGTTCTTTGATTAAGATCCTTGTTATTTATTTATTTGAACGCATAAATATTGGTACAGGGGGGCACCTGATATATATGCGCCACACAATAACAATGAGAATGGTAAAATGCGTATAAGAAAAAAAAGAACAAGAACAATAACGACCACAGATTAGTGTATGGTAGTGTAATAATAATAATTGGGGAAACGGAAAGGTACAACCAGAAAGATCTCCTTCAGTTAAGGAAGATACAACCACTTTCTATAAGGAAAGTAAAAGAAGGTTACAGCAGGATTGCCACTGGCTTCTATTCTGAGCCATATCTGATAACGTCTATAGCCACTGTGTTACACCATCTCTCAGAACCCAACCAGGGAGTCGAGAAGAACCAACAGAAGCCAGCCCTTTGCAGCTTTCTTTCATACCACGACACCATGTCATATACTGACCAGCTCTCCGCTTTTTCCAAGCAGTCTCAGTGTCGGCAAATAATGCACGACATGGAATCCTCTGGGACGACATTCGTAGAACATATCTAAGTCACCGAAGTCGATGTTTCAAGATGGTGACACCAACTGAATTATCGTCTCTGTGCCCGAACACACGATGCCGAACCTCTGCATTACTAACATGGTGTTGCATTTCTTGATTAGTTGATAATTCACCCAAGATTGTTAATATATTATACTTTTATCCAACAAACTTCAATAAACTCATCTTTGTTTTTTATTTTTAAATTACAGCTTAATATACATGAATTATTTGGTTCAATTCAATTAAAATATGCAATACAAACTAATCTGACTATGATTCCATCATTTGTCTCTTCTATGATTGATGATAATAATAGATATCAATCAAGTAAAATGAATCGCATTCATGTGAAGTCAATGGAAATTGAAGCATACTATCTTGTTTAATTCATTATTCTTATATGTATTCTTGTTAACATTTTTAAACTTGCTTTTTTTTTTAAATCCATAGTTGTGTTGATTTTATTTTTCTTGTTTTGTGGAAAATACTCTTTCTTGATTTTGTTTGTTTGTTTTAAAACTGTCCCATGGTACGTACTAATCTTCCGCCAACTATCTCTTCTCTCCTGTGAATATCAATACCATATGCTTGTGTATAATAATCATAATCATAATGGTAATAATGATGTTGATAAGATTGTACAAAATCACTCATTTATGTTTGACTTTTGTGACATGATGACGGGATTTTGTCTTTCCTATATATATGCATTGTTATTACATCAGTCTTTCCTCAAATGCTCATGCTTAATATGTATGTAATGTATGATAATTTGGAATACTTTTAAATAGTAATAATAACATGATCTTACATAATTCTTTTTTTGTTTCTACAAATTTTTGTTTGTTTTTTAGTTTTCTCTTTCAATGTATTACTGTATTGTTGATCACTTTATAATGATAGTTATCTTTTATGATTGTTTCATTCAGAAAAAAAATTTGTAGTTTATTGTGTTAATCCTATTGAATTGAAGGTGAAACAGAAAAAAATTCTCAGTTTAGGGGTTGTGGAGATTGTTGAGTTTTTGATTGAAATCATGAACCGATTGATGTTAGATCACCATTGAAAATGTGGGAGCACTGGACGGCTGTTTCGTCCTATTGTGGGACTCCTCAGCAGTGCGCACCTACGATCCCAGGGCCCTCAGTCTTGCGCGAGAACACTTAACCTATTGGACTACTGAGCTGGCCGGCATTCAGTGGTGTTAATGTCTAACCTCAACCAATCTAGAAATTTGTAAATCATTTAGGTTTGAGTTGATAAAAAGATAAGTAATAAACAATTCGGTTTGATACTTTAGGTTTTCTACTAGTTGATAGTTGTTAGTACTTCAAATTTTAAAGGAGCTGATCATCTTTATGAGATTCAAATTATCCAATCACGCTAAGCTTCATAGTTTATATTGTCGTTTACTTGTTAGATCTACGACAAATCTGTACGATTAAGATAATTACAACTGATAGATCACTGAGTAACGATCGTTATCATACTTTTCTAATCATATTGGTACTATTCAAATTCTGTTGACCATGTTGTCAATATGACTCACTGGTTTAAGTGACTTAACGAGAGAATTGTAATACACTGTCAAGTATTGATCATTCACTTAGTTAAGAATCATGACTGCCAAAACATCTGTCTGGGTCAATCTATGATAGCCAAACTTGACAATGGGGAATATCATTACTGACTATTAGCTGGTTTATTTGAGTAGTCTAGTGTTTAGACGAAGTGTAGAATCTATGATTCAATGAAAGAAACTTAGACTACTGGTTTATACAACTGCATAAACCAATATTTATTATTTTACTGGTCTTTTACCGATCGTAAAACGTGCTGTTGAGGGTAGAAGAGATTATGAAAATAACACACAATACATTCAGGTTCATTAGATGTGGGTTGAATTGTTTCACACTTTAACCATGTAGGAATTATTATTCATAAGTTTTCAGAAGTTCATTTGAAGTAAAGTCTCGCGCGCAAGACTGATAGGTTCTGGGTTCGAATCCCGCGAGGGGAGATCGTGGATGCGCACTTTTAAACTTTATTCAATAGATAGTATTCGCTACTGATGTTTTATTACAATAACTGCATATAATATTGTTTTTCGTTTGATTTTTAATGAATAATAATCCATTCAGTTTTGAATATTTCTAATTATGGAGGCAATCTGCTAAAATGTTTAATCTATTTCCAACTGTGCAAATATAAACTTAATTAACCTTTCTATTCTTAGATTTAATTGAACTGAATAATTATGTGTGTACTTATCCTCTAGTGAACGAAGACTTGGTGAGGATAATCGACTTATTGTTTAATGCACACTCACACAGGGGTTTAGTAAAATGTTAAAATCACACATCCAATGCATCGTTTGAACATCTTTCAGTTTTCTTTTACATCCTTCATGATTCCTTCAATTCTTTTTTTATTCCAATTGCTTTCTTCTTTTCAGTTCAATCTTTTGACAAACACTTCTGATTAGTGTCACATACTACTTACATTTGTCAACATAAGTAGCATACACTGCGAACGGGTATTATAAAAGGCTTACTGCTGATAATCACTTTTGGGAAACTTTGAATAAAGGATCAAAGTTGTTGGCATATTTTCTCCTCTATGTCTGTGATAAACTGATTAAATAGTCATAGCTGGTAGATTTGCTTGAAAATTTTTAATCATTAATTACAGAGTCTAGGTAGATAGTGACTAGTGAAAACATCTATACAATATATTATACTGAATAGTTACGATTTAAATCGATGTGTTGAATAGAAATTTGTTACGATGTTGCTTAATTGTTGATAATTCCTTATTGCAACAACATACATAATGCTATCATGATTTGTGTATAACTGAAGATCATCAAAGTTTGAGGATTGTGTACATAAAAAGATTATGATTTGTTAATGAGTCTCGACATAGTTGTCAGTAACCGTTAACTCTTATTCAGAAATTTGTAACATCTAGCATGCTATCATATGTTCTTATCAGTATTATCGGAAGCTTTTTTTGTAGTTTTATATCGTCTTTTCAATTCTTAATCATTATTAATGATGAACTTTACGTCACATAAACTTCTGAAAACTTACGAATAGTAATTCCTACATGGTTAAAGTGTGAAACAATTCAACCCACATCTAATGAACCTGATTGTATTGTGTGTTATTTTCATAATTTCTCCTACCCTCAACAGCACGTTTTACGATCGGTAAAAGACCAGTAAAACATTAAATATTGGTTTATGCAGTTGTATAAACCAGTAGTCTAAGTTTCTTTCATTGAATCATAGATTCTACACTTCGTCTAAACACTAGACTACTCAATTAAACCAGCTAATAGTCAGTAATGATATTCCCCATTGTCAAGTTTGGCTATCATAGATTGACCCAGACAGATGTTTTGGCAGTCATGATTTTTAACTAAGTGAATCATGCATGCTTGGTTACACTAACAATTGATTTATCGCGAATTTCACTGGAGCGTAAATTCGCAGTGCGGTGATATTTCTTTTCAATCAGTCCGTCATTGTTGTTCTACGCTAATACACATATGTTTAACAATAGTAATAAGATATTTATTAATGATTGGATATATCGAGATTCTTAATAAACATTTTACTAATTCTATTGTGATCAATTCCTAAGCTGTATATTCTAATTTATTCGCTTATTAAGTAGTATCTTCCAATACTGATCATTTCATTCACTTATATACATGCCATAGAGCCATTGAAGAGAAATATTGTGTGACTCGTCTGGATTCGTTCGGTATATCGGAAGTTTACGTTTTTTGGTTTATTCGCTAAAATAAAAACATTCACTCCGGTACTCAGCACTTGGTATATTTATTTAAATCTCAGCTATATCTGTGCTCTTTAATTGGACATTGAAGGAATCTGAAATCAGACCGTAACAAAATATCTGCCCGACTAGATGAAAACCTCACATCTGTTCACATAATCTTATCTAGTCAAAAAACAATATCTTAAAGGTTTCATGCACGCGCTGTGTACATCGCTTTTCTTAGGTTATTACTATTTGTGTGAACTAAATACACAAAACTATGGTTTCGACAAGGTACTGACAGCAGACAAATTGATCTCTTCGTAATCATATGAAATCCTACGTTAAAAGAAACCACTACTGATATGAAATTCCAGCATATTTGAACAACTATTTAATAAATAACGTCAAGGATTATTAGTAGGCCTGTATAATAAATGTTTACACAAGTTTGGTCTTTATTTTGACGTATAATCCCAATAAATCAATATTTTAACTGACAGCTTATAGCTTTGAGAAACAGACACGTGATGTTAAACAATACACAGGACTTTATCGATAAATGATTTATGCAGTCTTCGTCAGCTATTGACAACTGAGAATCTAGACCGCATCATTCTAGTCTGAGATATCAGTATCATGGAAAGTATTATGGCACATGAATGCAGGTCACACTAATTGATTAAAACTCGTCAGAAGATACATATTTGTAACATTAAGGAGTGGTGTGTTGCTCCCTGAAGGATTCAAACTTACAAGAACCAGTGTGAGACGATACTACTCAACTATTCAAGTGATAAATGATCTATTGTACAATTGGGATAATTACATTGACTGATCACTGAGTGGTAAATATTGTCGGGCTTATCTAGTCGTCTAGAGTATAATTTCTCTTAATACTACTTAGGCTACTAAACATATTGTAGTTTAATTAAAAGAATACAATCAACACTAGACATTCATCTACCAGTAGTCAGAGTTTAATCATTTGAAAGGCATCATCATTTAAATACATTCATTATTTATACAGAAAGCAAAAAAAACACTTTCAAGTACGTATGATATAGTCACCAACACTAGTATACTTTCAATGTTAAATATATTCCCAAATAGTAAAACAGTAAATTTGATAAACACTCAATAATAATAATAAATTTATGTCTATATTTGAAATGAATAAAAAGAATTGAACATTACTAATATAATACAAAGAAAATTATTATTCATTAGTTCAGTTACTAATAGTAACCACCAATTACATGAATATATACGCGCATATATCAAAAAGACAAGCAACAAAAAGATAAGTCAGCTAAAAAATTACCACCGCTTATTACTAACATTCAATTGATAAAAGTAAATTCACAATAAAACAAAAAAAAACACATTGAATGATATGGAATTATAGTTTTAATGAATTAAAAAACAAACAAAATAATAAAGGCGAGAATTTAATTTCAATGATGAATAGAACTATTTTATTAAAAGCAGATAAACAAAGGGAGAAATTTAACTGTTTAAACAATTATTGAATTAGATAACATTATTTTAAAAAACAAAACTCTTTTTTAGAGAGGAAAAGAAATATAATAAACATTCATTATATCATCAATAGAGACAGTAATAGAAAGACAAAAACTTTGTTAGATTTATTGTATTGTTTATAGTCAATAGTTAGTTACCAAGTATGTTTGTTTGTTTGTTTGTTGTTGTTGCTGAATATGTATATCTCTCTAAATTGTACCGTCATCGTTAGAGATATCATACGAGCTTAATTATAAAATCATAACACTAATGAAATGAATGATTTAAGAATAACACAACAAACCAAAGTGAATAATAAATGATGAATGAACAAACAAACAAGACAAAAGTATCCTTTCTCCCTGACATTATTCACTTTGACATTTTTCAACATACACTATATATATAGGAAGATATTTAACGATAAAGTTAGATTGTAACAGTGTTTATTATAGACAAAACAATATGATGAGAAGCGATTGAAAAGGCAACAGTTTGATGTGTTTTTACGGTTTAATGATTTCATTTTAACCATTAAGACAGAGAATACTGATGAACGACCTATGCTTCTTCTTCACGAAGAGTAACAGGTGTAATTCATTAAGATTTCTATTATATATTAATGTTATTCAGTCAGCAGTTTGATTTGTGCTACACGAATATATTTATAATAGACTGTTTGTTGTAAAGATCCTTACGAATATACTTTAAAAATAAAATTGGCTAAAAATTTCAACTCTTGACTCACTGTACTGATACAACACAAAAACAGAAGAGTATTCATTAAAGGAAGACATCGAATAAATACAAGAAATGGCGCCAACATTGAATTATAGTTCAAAGGGATTAAAGTGAATTGAACAGATATATATTCACTGAATAAATGAGAGTGATTGAAATAATCATAATCATAATACATGATCAAATGCATATACAATACATTCTGATGTACATGCATAATATTTAATAAACAATATTTATATCATTTGACAATATTGAATGAACAATGCAAAATCAATTTCAATTGAACATTAAACATGTTCAATTACATATATATGAATATTTCCTTTAGTAAGAAAGAATTCATAATAGAAAAGGATTACTTGAAGAAGCTGGAAAAAGGATCTTCTTCTTATGTTTATTTATCATTCAATAAAACCTATAATTATTAATAGAAAACAAAATAATCAGATATCTTTATTTATGTTTTCTTAATGAACAATTCCAACAATAAATATCAATAAATGTTGTAATTAATTAATCCACAGTTGAAATCATGAGTCGATCTAAGCTAGACAACCATTGTCCTAGTACGGGACTTCTCAAAAGTACGCATCCACGATTCAGTACACAGAAATCGAACGTACGACTTTCGAACTCGCGCGCGAACATCTAAACTCTAGACTAGAACTTCAATCGACACATGATCTTGTACAACCCTTCATCCATTCTTGAGGTGGATAATTCTCTCATACCCGACACGGATTGAACTCCACTAGCCACAGTTTCTTATTAGAACTTCAGGAAATCCATCTTGAAGCCAGTCAATACTTACACGTTTTCAATAGTGTTCTAGGTTAGATAGACTGGTGAATTCAACTGTGGAGATACTACCATCTCCACAAATTCCCATTCTGTTAATTTATTCTATTTGGAATTCCATAGATGAACATTGTTAGTGATGGATTGACAGAAAACTAATAGAATGTTACAATTTTGATTGATTTACGATAGGTTCTGTCCTAAGACGTGTTTTGTTGAACAAATTAGAGAAATAAAGCAAATGAATGTAATTTGTATGTTGTTTTTACCGATTAGATCATCATATCATCATCAAATGATCGTCCATAACACCGAAGGAATATGTAACTAATATGATTGGATTTATTTTTATTTTCTGAAGAATCGATTTACAATAAGTCATGAGAAGTCGAGAAATCTAATTTCATTTTTTTATCGACTGTTGTTTACCGCTAATGTTTTGAATTGTTTGTTTTGAATTGAATGAGGAAAACTTTGGTAATCAAATAGAATGTTTAGAGACCTAAAGGTTGAGGGAGATATATGGTAAAAAAAAATCTGTTTGAGTTCTAATTTATCTGTATGCAATTGAAAACTGAACTCACTTACTGGACACAAATTGTAACACTATGCTTAAAACAATTGCTTCATAATTATTTATTGACATATATATGTGTATGTATGGGATATAAAACTGTCTGGATACTGCCACTGAAGCATTTAGACTTATTTAGAAACAACTGTTAGAACTTTCGACTTATAGATCTAATCCAGAAGACATTGGAGTAACGTCAAAAGATCCAGTCCCATTATAACGGAAGGGCAGAACAGGTTCATACAAACCTTATTACCTTAGGATCGTGGAGGTCATAAACACTCTACTAGGAGAACTTTCTGCATCTATCAACTCTGTGTGATCACAAAGTCTCCGCTTTTCGTACTCATACGTTTATAAAAATAAACAACCCTCATCTATGTGAACTTATTGAGCAGGACTTCAAGAGAGTAGGCTATAGCCACGTCTGACCGAAGTGAACCATATTACTATTTATTTATTAACTGTGCTATCTCTCTTATATTACGCTACAATATCGCTTCATTTTTCAAGCCCTTTGTGTTAGAATTTAATGTGCTTCATGAAATAAAGTTTCACAGAAAAACAGATCAACATTAAATCATATTTTTATAGATCTTAGTTAGACCATCATTAAAAAAACATATAAGCACTGGATGGCTACATTTTCTAGTACAGGACTTCCCTTCAGCATTGTACATCCATTAGTCCGCATCCGCGAATCGGACCCAATACCTTTGGTATGAAATGCGAACACTTAAGCACAAATGATATAATCAAGATGGATCAATAGGTAAACTTACTAGTTACACCGTCATCTGTAGATAATTGATGTTGTTGACCTTTTAAAGTGCTGTTACCAACACCAGAAGCTTGATGTTGTGATTGTAAAAATGAGCTTTGTCTAGAATTATGAATATTACTAGCATAATGGAATTGTTGTTGTTGCATGAACTCTTGCGATGGCTGACGATCAGTCAATAAAGTAGAATTCATTTGTGACCTTGATAAACTACTACTACCACCACCACCACCGATTGTGTTATTCATCAATGAGCCACTAATTACTGATGGTCCACAACTCGTCTGACGCATTAATCCACCTCTTTGTGGTAGTCTTGACTGATGATGATTACTAGGATTATTACTATTAGTATTATTCAGTAATTGTGGTGTTACAACATTAGGCAAAACTTTAACACCAAACATTAATTGACTATTAGTAGTACCACTCGGATTACTATCCATATTATTCCCGGATATAGGACTATCACGACCAACAATACCATTATTATTATTACTATTGCCGGAATAAATACGAGAACAATGTGAAATGTTGTTGTTCGCACTTGATATAGAAGGAGTACAGGATGAAGGAAACATTTCCTGTTGAATTGATGGTTGTTGTTGCAGTTGCCTGTAATGATTTTGTTGTAACATTGATGCAACAGAACAATTGGGACTTGTTCGATGAAGAAAGTTCAATTGAGGCTGTTGTTGGTAATGATGATGAATATTACTATTATTATTAGTAGTAGTGGTAGACTGTTCATACATTAAGGATGAATTAAATAGTGATGGATTTTTATTACCAGCAAAATCGGATAAATTTAATCGTGAAGAGTGTTGGTGATGATTAGTTGTTAGCAAACTATTATTATTATTAACAGTATTGATATTGTTTAATGAAGAATTATGTGAAACTAATTCACGACTGACACTGCTTGAACGTCTAGGCGGATGTACTAATGGACGATCATATAGACGATTACCAATATGAGGAGTTTGTTGATAGGCCTAGAATGATTTACAAATAAAATATAATGAGCAATGAACGATTAATTTATCATTGAACAATAGCTAATGTTATATTTGCCTAACCTCTAAAGTGTTGACTGAATTCTCTTAATCAATATCCATAGCATGCAAGAGTCTAAATTGACCAGACATTATGAGTATTATTCTTTGATAATTAGTAATTGAAGTCCGTTGGAAAGAAACTTGATGTCAAGATTTTGTGTTAGTTGTTGAAATAATGGATCCATTGGATATCGATTAAATGATGAACTCACGTGGTTGATTGAAATATCGCTTCCTCTACTAAGGAATGATATATAGGTATACAATTAGTTCTCAATTCCGCTGATCAGTAAAGGGCTTCTTTATCACTCGATCTCCTCAATCTTCTCGCGAATAGGAAACTTGTTTATCAAAAGCAGAGTAATCCATCAAAAAACACAACAGTCGTCACTTGTCTTGAAGGGAATTATAAGTATATTACTATGGTAGATATTATTACTAGTTTATTCTTATGTGCATTCTTTAGGCAATGATATATATAATATTTCACAAGTTGAAATCATGAGTCGATTGAAGCTAGACCACCATGGGAAACCTGGAAGCACTGGACGGCCGTTTCGTCCTGGTATGAAACTCCTAAGCAGTGCGCGTCCACGACCCCGCACCTCGCGGGGTTTGAACCCAGGGCCTACTAGTTTCGCGCGAGCACTTAACCAATAGACCACTGAGCCGGCATAATAACAACAAGAGACGTTTGATTCAATGTAAATCTTAACTGGGGTTAGTTTTATTGTTATCGATTCCAATTTACACATATTGCACCAATATTAGTTTCAATACGATAAGAGGAAGTAATATGTCTTTGCTTGCACTAACACACACACAGCACCGTTTTTCGTTCAAGTTTAGTGCACAAAAATCTTTAACTTATTTCTGAGCTCATGATTGTGAGCATGAAAAAGCAATCTTCCAGAATTATTCATATTCTACTTTTTATTTATTACGAAGTATTTTATTTAGAAAGTACAAATGTATGTAAACGGAATTTTCTGGGAGATTTTGTCCTGAGTGATTGTTGATCCGCTTAAAAGGAAAGTTAGGGGCGGTTTAACCAAAACGTGGCATCAGTCCATAAAGCCACTAACTTCTGGTCTGAACCATGTTGGTAGATGCAGACTCAGTCAGTCAGTCAGTCAGCTACAACGTAGGACCAGGCACATATGTGCATCGGTCCAGGTTGCCATACCGCATCAGCACAACAAGATGAACACCGGATTCATAGCAGTGGTTATGTCAAAGGTAGTAATATATAAGAGAAAGATTGCATAAAGAGATATAGTACAAGAAGAAAAAATTGGTTCGTAGAAAGAAAGGTATGAAGCGATTTTAATCTCATAGTTTAAGGGAAGACAGAGAGTGTATACACCGACGCCATTGTGATCGATTCTGAGCCATGTCACCAAGAGTCTCCAACCATTGGTTACCATAGTCACGCGGAGCCCAACCAAGTAGTCTGCATCTACCAACATGGCTCAGACTAGAAGTTAGTGACTTCAAGCACTGATGCCACGTTTTGGTTTGGCCGCCCCTAACTTTCTTCCAACCATCTCCAATACCGGATAGCATTGCACGTCGTGGTAATCGGTATTCAGGCATACGTAACACGTGGCCAAACCATCTCAGTCGATGAAGATTTATAACCTCAACAACTGATTTACCGTCATTTCCTAATACCCTGCGTTTAACCTCACTATTACTTACCCGGTGATCCCAACAGACGCCAGCAATATTTCTAAGGCATCTGTGGTCAAATACTAATAGCTTACGAGTGTGTTCTACTCTTACTGGCCATGTTTCGCTGCCGTAAATTAAAACAGAACGGACTGCCGCGCAGTATACTCGTCCTTTTATTGATAGACGGATATCTCGCCTTCGCCATAGGTGACGCAAGTTGGCAAAAGCCAAACGAGCTTTTCGAATCCGTGCTGAGATTTCGTCAGACACCAACCCATTAGGGCTGATCAGACTTCCAAGATAAGTGAAGTTGTCAACACGTTCGACTACTTCACTCCCTATCCTTAGTTCAGGTGTTGACGCAGACCAGTCCTGAAGCAAAAACTTGCATTTAGAGGAAGAGGAGCGCATTCCAAACATTCTGGCATTGTTGCTTAGTGGTACCAAAAGACTGCATTTTGTCAGCGTCTTCACCAAACAGGACTATGTCATCTGCGTATTCTAAGTCGATAAGTGGACCTCCTGGTAGGAGATCAATACCCGAGAACTCAGTCGACGAGAAAGTTATTTCCATCAATAGATCTATGATGAAGTTAAACAAAAATGGCGAAAGTGGACAGCCTTGACGGACACCACTTGAGGTTGCAAAAGTAGATGACAGTTCGCCATAAGCTCTAACTCGACTAGTAGTGTTCGAGTAAAGAGCCTTCACAAGGTTTATGTACTTCTGAGGTACGCCTTTCAATGACAGGCACTGCCACAGAATCTCGCGGTCTACCGAGTCAAATGCTGCTTTTAAGTCAAGAAAGACCACCAATGTCGGACGCTGATAAGTATGCCTGTGTTCTAGAACCTGATGAATGGTGAATATGTGGCCGATGCAGCCACGACCAGGTCTAAAGCCAGCTTGGTTCTCTCGTGTTTGCAGTTCACGAGTCTTAGTTAGGCGTCTGATAATTATCGAAGCTAGTATTTTAGATATTATATTAGTTAAACTAATCCCTCTGTGGTTGTCACAGGATGATTTTGACCCTTTCTTATATATTGGGACGATAAATGATTGTGACCAGTTAGATGGGATAACGTCTAACTCCCAGATCCTAGCTAAAATATTAGTCAACCTAATCGCTAAAATTGGACCACCATCCTTAAAGACCTCTGGAGCCAATCCATCTGGACCAGCTGCCCTTCCTCGCTTCAGATTAACTATAGCCTTTTGAACTTCAGCAAGAGTTGGGGGACCTACTTTAATGTTCCATTCACACTGTCTGGGAATGATGGGTAGTTGTAGAGTAGCTGGAGGCCAGCTGAACTGCTTTTTAATGTGTTTCGCCGATCTTTCTAAACGTCTGGACTGGGAGCAGATGAGAGTATCGTCTTTTTCCGATATAATCTCACTTACACTTGACTTATTAATTCCAGTTTCTTTTATTAGTCTGTAAAGCTGTCTTGTGTTCCCTATAGTCGCCGCCTTTTCCATCTCTTTTGCTTTCATTGCCCACCACTGTTCACGGTCGTTTCTTAGACTTTTTCTTAACCTAGATCTGATTTGTTGTCGCTCTTCATCATGTTCGGAACCTGATGGGACGAGTTTGCGAGAATCCATCAGTTTGATAGACTTTGACGAAATCCACTGGTTCTTTGTAACTCTGTGGTTTAAGTCGCTAATAGATGTCACTGCTGTTTCCACAGCTGCTTGTATGTCTTTCCAAGCAACATCTGGGTCAGCCTCGTCTTCAGAACTACCTAATTGTGACCTCAGTTGTTCTTGGAACCTATTTTTGGTTTTCTCGTTACTCAACTCAGTTCTAATGGGTCTTGGTCGGGTTCCACGTGACTATAGTAACCATTGGTTGAAGACTTGGTGATATGGCTCAGAGTTGATCACAATGGCGTCGGTGTATACACTCTTTGTCTTCCCCTTAAACCATGATATTTACGTTACTTTATACTTTTCCTTCTATGAACTAATTCTTTCTTCCTGTATCATATCCTTATATGAAATCTTTTCTTTGACTACCTTTGAAGTAACCCCTTCTATAAATTTGGCGTTCATCTTGTGTTAATGAGGTGTGGCAACTTGGACGGATGTATATATGTGCCTGGTCCTATTCTATAGCTGACTGACTGATCCGCTTAAGACTATATTATGCGGTCAGATGTATTGAAGTATGTATGCTTAAGAAACTAATCAAAATAACCTATACGATGCAGACAGCGACAACGTATAATCACCTCTCTCTTCGTTATTATAAAATACCAGCCAAACGAAAAAGGATCGCTCAACATTATTCTCTAATTTATCCACTGATTACCTTTCGAAAACATCTTTGAAAAAATTGTCTGATAGTAATATAGATGTATCATTTGAAGAAAGAATAATCCATTTTCAATGTAAGCGAGATATTTTGCTGAAAGAAGGAACATAGGTTATACAAATTAAACATCTTCAGTTTTGAACGCATCTTTAGTAGTGGTCTACTGGAATTAGTTGAGGAGTTAAGTCATGATTGTTGTGAAAGACGTGGTCAATGTACGCTGCACCTACTAACCCAGTTCGTTATTGGTACTGTGGTGACGTTAGTATAGCTGGAGAAAAGCGTTTATTATAAACAGCATCGATATGATTATAATATGTTGAAGAAACCTAGCCTTTTGATCAACGCTGTTTGATGCTCCGATAGCTTAGATATATTTATTATAAATATGGTAAATTCATTGAAGGTATGGATCCTTATCGATTGAGGTACTTAGAACATGTGTTACATACACCAAACTACAGCCAACCTCCACACGTTATATTACCAGCTAAAACCAAAACGTGATATTACTTCTTAAAGTTACTGACTATTGAACTGCATCACGTTAGTAAGTCCAAACTACTTGGTTAAATAACATCTAGGTGTTATAGCTGATGACAGTTCGTGATTAAAACCTGTACTCTAATTCCCAACCCTAACTTCGAACTCGTGATCCTAAACTTACTTCCTCGCACTGATTTACAACCCTTCTTTTAACCCTATGAAGCAGATGAATTTTCTCAAGGTCATCTATCTTTGCATTGCTTCAAAGTCATCCATAAATCATAGTCTCACCTGTGGTATTCATCCTGGTAAACCTAAGCTAAATCCTAAACTGACTATGAATGACCATGAAAGGAAAATACAGTTTTACTTGACATTTCTGTTAATTATGACATAAGAGGAATTTTATCAGTTATCTTTTAAAATAATGAAATTTATGGAAATTGTTGAGAGATTTATTATTGATCAACGACGATGACAAATAATGTATATATGATTCTACGAAAGACTCAATCCAGATATATGTAAAAAGGATATGAAGTATTACAACCAATTAACGGTTGGAAAATTGATTTCAGTTATCTAATGAACGAAAGATACAGCGACGATATATATCGATTAATGAGGAGGAACGGATGCAGATGTGAAGGCAAAGATTGACAAAGCAAGGGTAGCATTCCTACAGTTGGACAACAAATGGGACTCAAAACAACTGTCAACCAACATCATAGTCAGAATTTTTAATATGAACGTCAAGACAGTTCTACTGTATGGTGCTGAAACTTCGAGAACTACTACAATCATCATCAAAAAGGTACAATTATTTATAAACAGTTGCTTACGTAATATAATAAATGTCTGTTGACCGGAAAACATCAGGAACAGCCTAATGTGGGAGTAAACAAACCAGCTTCTAGCTGAAAAGGGAATTAAGAAAAGATACTGGCAGTGGACAGGATATCATCAAACTGCATCATTAGACAAGCGCTGAAGGGAAGGGAAAAGAGGGCCAAAGAACATGCTGCATTGAGAGTTGGAAGCAGACATAAAAAAAAATGAATAGCAAATGAAAGCAACTGGGAAGGATTGTCCAGGACAGAGTTCGATAGCGAATGCTGGAGGGCGGCCTACGGTCCTCCACGATGGGTGACAAACGTAAGTTATATATAGACATGATTAAAAGTCAAATTATTCACAAATCATCTTGTTATAGTTATAGATGATGATATTTAAGTTAGCCGGACAAATTATTTAGCATTTTTAAGGCGAATATCAAGATTTTTTTTCATCAAACAAACAAAAAGAACAAAATCAGTTTAACCAACCTGACTACCACGACGTATTAAACCTGGTGTAACAGAAGCATAGTTGGAATTTTTCACAGAAGATGGACTTAATGGAGGACCTGGAGGAGGAGGAGATGAACAGATTTTACCAGAGGATATTGTTGAATCCAATGACTTTTTAAAATACTCTGATTGACGTCGTCGAAATGTTGAAGTACCAGAATTAACAATTGTATTTATGTAACCGATAGCATCACCATTAGTAGTAGAAGCAGAAGACTGTGATGCGTCATATAAATTATTATTAGTATTAATATCATTCCCATTCGAAGATAATGACGGTGATAACGTAGTAGCTAAATACCCTGATGACTGTGTTATTGATGTAGGATGAAAGAAAGGAGAAGTAGTTTGATCGGTCGTTATCAAGTGATTGTATTCCCATAAACTAGAAACATTATTATTATTCACACTAGACATATGTGTAGTATTACACAATGAACGAGAATTAATCTCTTGTCCCCCACTATCACAACTGACATTATCAAGTGTTGTTATCGGTGGCCAAATGAAATGAGATGACTGTGGTAAACCTTTTTTCGAAAATAAAATAGACAATAAAATGTGAATAAATAACTAACATAATGAACTGATTCTTTTTTTGTATTGAACACTTCTAACATATATAATATAGTTCATAGGAAAGATCATTTAAGAAAAAAGGATAGAGAAACTTAATTGTGAGGTTGTGAATTTTCATCGACTGAGGTGGTTGGACCACGTGTTGCGTATGCCCGAACACCGATTACCACGATGTGCAATGCTAACTGGTGTTAGAGATGGTTGGAAGAAAGTTAGGGGCGGCCAAACCAGAACATGGCATCAGTGCTTGAAGTCACTAACTTCTAGTCCGGACCATGTTGGTAGATGCAGATTACTTAGTTGGGGTCCGTGTGACTATCGTAACTAATGATCGGAGACTCTTGGTGACATGGCTCAGAATCGATCACAATGGAGTAGATGTATACACACTTTGTCTCAACTTAAAATAAGAGATTAAAATCGCTTTATATCTTTCTTTCTTTATTCCTGTACTATATCCTTATATGCAATCTTTCTTTTATATATTACCACTATTGACTTAACTACTCTTATGAATCCGGTGTTCATCTTGCTGTGCTAATGCAGTATGGCAACTTGGACCGATGCATATATGCGCTTGGTCTTACGTTGTAACTGACTTACTGAATTATGAAGCTTAAGTGGAAGATTACAATACCTTTTTCAACAGATTTGACACCATTAGGATCATCAATAAAAGTGGTATGTGCAGTCTTTCTGTCATAGAATATACCCAGTAATTAACTCAGTGTTATAACAGGAAAAAGTTAGACAAAGTTGAACTTTCGAAACAGTCCTGTCTGAAGTTATTGCTTTGATTTTTGCTATTTAATTATATATAACTAGATTATTATATTTCGTTTTTTAAGTATTTTACTTTCAAACATCTATGTAGTGCATAAACGGTTGTTACGTTTTGTATCTTATTTAAGTTACCATTACTTTACGACAAATCTATCCCTTAGTCCTTTTCCATTTATGAATCCCACTTATTCACTTCTCATAATTTCCTAATTATCATGATATATGATCAGGATTGTACTGTATATTCATCAATTCAAACTGCATAAATAACAATTACTTAATTGCTCTATTGTGTTCTATCCTGGCTAGTGAGTGAGCAAGTATGAGTATTTATTATTTATTTATTTATTTGAACACACAGATACTGGTACAAGGGGGCAGCAGACACATATGCGCCACACAAATCTTGTTTGGTTTGTGTGAGGGCTATGATACTGTTCGGGTGCCTAAACCGAAGCAGGGAGCAAGCATGAGAAACTGCATTTATTGAGTTTTCGTCTGTTATAGTACTATTATCATGCCATTGGCACTAGACAGACAATCTAGACAAACTAATCATTACTTTGAATAGATCAATACAAGTTTATTACGGTCCGATTATACGGTCTCAAAAAATAACACACAAAAACTCGTTTTATTTTTTACTGTCACACCCAAACGTAAGCCGCATATCATAAACTGTCAAGCCCCCATTACCACCACTAGTTTCCTTTTATATTAATTACTAACTTGCTCCATTTTTAATTTACACATTTCAATTCAATTACTTATTAAAACTTACTTACTTACTTACGCCTGTTACTCCCAATGGAGCATAGGCCACCGACATTCATATTAATTTATTACTATTATTATCATCATCATCTCAATTAACCTGAAACAATATTTCTTCTAATATGTAATATTTTCATATGAGCTATTTTGATGTAATGAAAGGAAACTAGTTCACAAAATAAAGAACAGTGAGACAAATACTGATTATTGTTATCAAAGATTAAGAAGTCTTTTGTTACTTTACCAGTAGTCTCAGAATTTACCAAACTGTATAATGTGTATGATATTAATATGAATTAGTTTAAAATTCAAATTACCTGAATCAACTTTGTTGATATCACTGACAGGAAAAGAATCTCCGACAACTGTTGGAGTGAGCATTGATTCATTCGATGGCAAACTGAATTTACGACTAGTATACAAGGAACTGCTGTCATTATTCACTACAGTTTCATTGTTGTTGCTATTATTGTTTATATTATTTACAGTGGGAGAATTACGACTTTGAAATTTACGTGCAGCAGCTTTCTTAAGTTCATTCAAATTTGTATAGACTGGTGAAGGTATAGCTTGATTAGGATATAAGGTTTGTACTTGATGTGCTGAAATTTAAGATATATATACACTATTATTATTATTACAACTACTCACATTTATATAAGTAGTTTTTAAACGGAAAAATCTAAACAGAAAAGTTTACAATGTACACAAATCATTATACTAAACACGTAAACACACTTGCATTAAGGTGTAATATTCACAATAGTAGAAATGAAGTCTGATCTTATGTATTTAATTTATGCTACTCAATCAATTTATCGGTAGTATGATTTGTACTTAAAAACTCGACAATGTGAAATAAGACATAACTGGAGTTATAAAATAATAAGTGCGAAATTATACAATATATCGATTAAAAGTGCTGTTACTAAGATCGAAAAATGCCACTATCAGTAGTAGGTTGCAGCTATTAAGTGTCAAAATAGGACGAAGTGTAAACCCTTAGTTCCATTGATAATCACAATATTCTATGCTATAAAACTTGTGAAGAAAGCGAAATTAATTAGAAAACTGGAATATTCTGTATCATATGGTAAGCAAAACAGCTTAAATACATTATGGGACTGATATAAAAAATGCGAAAAGTCAAAAGTTTGCAAAATAATGTTAAAATACACTTTTACGAAGATTGAAACAATCGAAAACTCTAGTCTCTACGAAACCTCCTACACTAGCAATAATAATGTACACAATCTTCACCAACTTCAAGATGCAATTTCTGGAGCTCAAGAAAGAAACTGTGACTGTTGGAGTTCAACTATATCGGGTGTGACAGTTATACATGAAGACAATGGGCAGATGGTCATGCATATTCTTGTGAATTGATTGAAGTTAGGTATTAACAACGTAGGATACTGACTCAGTAGCCTAGAAACTGAATGTTTACGTACGAAGCCGAGTGTGTTGAGTACGATCTCCTGATCTGGTGTTATAGATGAGCACTGCTAAGGGATCTCATATTGCAACGAAAAAGTTGCTCAGCGCCACCTATACTATGAAGAAACGGCCACTCAATGCTCTCAGGTTTCCAATAGTGGTCAAAGATCATCTTGTGGTCTAAACTATGGAAGACTGATAGTCCCGTACAGATAAATTAACAGTAAGTAATTGTAAAAGAACAAAATTTGAAACAGTAGATAAAGACTTACATTTATCCAGACGGGTTTCATCACTATGATCTAATTTCTCATCATCTGTTTCACCATCCTCCGTATCTTCAGTAGTGGTGCCACCAGCACCGCCGCCGCCATCATCAGCATCAGCTTCAACGCTGATATCAACATTACTTGTTCCTCTTTCATGATTAACATCTTGACCATTATCGTTTTCATTATTGTTAAAATTTTCAGATGAAAAACCGAAAACAGCATTATCTTGAGTTGATTTACCATTGGTTTTTTGACGTTCATTTACATTCATACTTTTATTACTTAAACCAGGTAATGGAATCCAATCTGGTTGATGGAGAAAAGTACAAAAGTAAATGGAAAATGCAGTAACTAAAGTATATATTGAATAAACACACTACTCATAAGTAACCATTATTATATAGTACAATTTCATTGATCGCGCAGTCTCGACAGATCCTGAACTATGTTACTCAGTGTCTCCTCCAACCACTGGTTACAATAATCTAAAGAACTTTAATTAGGTAGCCTGTGCCTACTAACATGGATTAGATCAACAGTTATGGGCGTCATGAGCTGATGGTTTGGCTGCCCCTATCTTTCGCCCAACCTGCTCTTACATTGGGTAACTTCGAGCTTCAAGGTGAGCTGTCGTTGGACATATGTAACACGTGTTCCAAACAACGTTGGGGATGTACTGAAATTTGATGCACGACTATATTAAAGTTCATTGAATGGAAGTGTTAGACTTTCTACAACGTTTAAAAACAGATAAAAAGACAGCAAAAGTCAGAATTTCTTAATTCCTTTTGAGATTGTTATTTCTCATCAACATATCAACACGCAATGTTATGGTTATGTATTGGTTGCGCTTAGTTGAATGACCTTTAAGATGCACTAAACTCAATAGGCTAAACTATCGTTTGCTTGTTTATTCCAACTAAGTTATTTATCCGATAATAATCAATCATTAAAAACAACTGAACCTAAATAGTAAACTATTTACTATTCTTATAGTTTAACAACAATATTTCTAATCCCCATAGTATCCAAACATGTATTCTGATCATTTAAAAACTATGTACTTTTTTAAAGCTGTTATTACGATTTCTTTTGAAACTTTTAATGAAACTCATAAACTTGTTGTGTTTGACGATAGAGTACAACTATTCCGATTAACAAACAATTAGAAGATGCTTCTAATACGAAACGGGACCTATGGGAATTAGATAATTGAAACGATCAATAATATAAAATATTTCAAGAATGATCTGTGAAGTGAAAGATGATAGAAAAGTCAATAATTTAGGCAAAAGTTTGATATCAAAACAGGTCAAACTTCAAATATGATCTTGAGATACACCCAAAATAAAACTAAACAGATGGCAGTAAAACTTTGCAGTTATATATATATATAGTGCTGTATGTAATTTGTTTTTAAAATACTTTTGTCTTATTCTGCCTATTATCAATTTAATTGTTTTCACCTTATCGATTATGTCTTGTTGAAACAGAGCCTGCCAATCCAAATTGGGATCACTTTTTTTCCCCAGATCATACATTTGAATTATTAATGTCTGTATGTAAAGTGTTATGTGAATGATAGTCAGTCACACTGACAACACGTTAAGATACTTCGTGTTGTGTCTACTGAAATGAAGAGAAATAACAATCATCAAGCTCGGTAGACAGAGAAATCATTTGAACATACATACACATGTATATGTAAAGGAAAATTACATAAACACTAGATATGAATAAAAATGTAAAATGAGGTGGGGAATAGCACCACTTAAGTAATAGTTATAACATGGCAGACTATACAGCGGACCATTATTACTACTGTTATGGTTATTGGTAGTAGCATTTTATGCTAAATCCAGGGTTTCAAAGATAATGTCAACAAAATCTGGAAGATACACTATCCCGCTTGACAATAACTGAAAATAACAAGAATGGAAACGATAATACAAATGGTAAGCAGTCAAAACATGAATAATGCGGCTAGCTGTAAAGCTACACATACACACAGCCCAGGCTATTAGTTTATATTTACTACAAATCAAAATAAGAAAGTATTGTGTATACTACTAGTAATACTTCTACTGCTGACAGTAAGAATACGAATCGAATACTAATTAACAAAAGATATCTTCTGAGCAATAAGTACCACTAAGTAAACAAAGCGCGCAACTAGGGGTGAACATAAAAGGAGATATAAAACGATGAGAAAAATACGATGACTTTAACAGCTTACGTGAAAATTTCTGCTTACCTCTTCACATACAATATGACCAATTATAACAGTTTGAGGATTCAAATTGAATCAAAGCGCATAACTCACTTAACTATAAATAACAGATTGGGTAACTCTAGTCCTGAAACCCAAGCGATCTTATAGATCTGTCGAACACCACAACTTAATTTATCTACAATAAATGTATGAGATGGTGGTTGGACGCAGTCGACAGGAAACCTTGGATTTAGGGTTTCGTGCTATTTGGTACTCATCGGCAAGGTGTATCTGTTTTCTTGACGGAATTGATGCTCCCTGACGAATTCGATCCCATGTCGCTACGCATCACAGTCAAAGACTACCACTGAGCTACCCGGGCTGCGACTGACCTCTTGTAGGGCTGAGATGCATTTACAATTGATTGATCACTAGGTAAAACCCAGGTTGGAACTTGGTTGATAGAATTTGATCTGAACTAAGGAGGTACGTGGCACTCTTGACATTGATCACAACCCAGTGATCAATCAATTGCAAAAACAACAAAAGTTGGTGTGAAACAATAAACAAATAACAACCATAGATATGAATAAATGGCAACGCCTGTAACTGTAGTGTAGTAATTACTGATGAGGTATTACAAATCCATACAAAGAGACGCAAAAGTTTCCTATTGATGCAACCTAGATCACCTCCCTAAATGAAACGAGTTTGTTTTATTTAAATTCAGAAAGGAAGCGAAGTATCGTCGGAACGAATTTCAAAGTTAGTTAAAATTTCACACTAATATTTCTACTGAACGAAATCTGTTGCAAACATTGTTGTATTTCATATGATCGATCTACATAATCCATTAACTAACGGGAAGGATTGGGAATTATTAAACAGTCGTTAACATAAGACTTGTAACAGATAATTGCAAATAAATGACCAAAGAATGTACTAGTATTATGGGGCATTGTTTACATTATATTCCTAGAGTACGTTCTTATTGAAGTTGGAGTGTGTTTGAAGGGGCCCACATAGATTATTCTAGTCTCTGGACAGATCAATCTACTCATTTTTCTCAAGCCACATTTTTATCCTGTTACTTATTCGCTTATTAACACCGACTATTTTTTGTGTGATCATATGGTGTGGTAATTACTTACTCTATGAATCATGTGTCTGTAACTTATTTTCGTTTGGATATAAATATTGAGTCACGCTTGATAAAAACGAATTGGCTCACTCGCTTTCTGTACTGCGCGTTACTTTGTTTCGTATCGCTCTCTCCTCTTCGCTTCCTTCACTCCGTCTCTGGTTGTTCAGATCAACGATTGTACGAAATATACGTATTTAAACTTTATTCTCGTCCCGTTATTCACTAATGCAATCTAAGTTGATTGTATACGAGGGTAGTTGGAATGTATACATCAATAACAATCATCACACGATCCACTTGGAGTCAGATACAGAGCAACTAAAGGTTAACAATCTAATCAAGAATATAATGTGCTTATTTCATGTGCGACTCATCACCTGAATGTAACCTGCATCTCAGTGTTGGTGTTAAAACGAAATTTGCCTCAAACGCCAGCGTACCATCCACTGATTTGGTGAGTTCAGATTACCACCTTGGATGTTTATGTACTAACAGAGACTGATTAACTGTAGCCCATAAAATTAACAAACGAAAAATACAAACCTTTAAATATTATATATAAATATATAAGTTTTTTACATTTAGGTTTTACTACTGATAAGGTATATCTGTCAATTTTAGTATGAAAATATACTGATTATAAATGATAACAGAGTCTAAAATTTTTTCATAGGAAAGTCCTAATTCTAGGGTACATTTATTTGATTTAATATACTTTGGAATGTCCTATCTAAGCTTTTTGGAATTCTAACCGAGTGCACACAGAGAGAGCGACACACCGAGAGAGATGAAAGTCGGCTCTTTTGAAACAAACGACTATATGTAAACAGTTGGTACACTGAGACAAAAAAATGACTGAAATTTATTAACCGATTACCCATAGCAGATTATTTTAACTGTCATTTTAATATTAGGATGAAATTCTAACAATATGAGACAGAAGATAATCACATTTCATCGCTTATCAATCTATAATTTTCTTTTAGACTTAGTCACAAACAAAAAATGAACGCTGGGGATCTAATATATCGCGATTTAGTGTATGTACGGCCGATCTCAAAACTGGGTGTCTACCGAATCTTCCATCCGGTTCAGCAACACTGTCGGAAAATTTTCCTGGTACCGGCAGAAGTGTGATATTTCGGTATATTACTTAACGCTAGATGTTTATTAAATCTTATGTAACCACTAGTTTGGGTGCCCAAATATTGCAATAGTCATTTTTATTTGATATTCAGTGGCTTCTGTAGGTAACCTTAGCTTGTAGGCAAATGGCAAGTAAAGCGCATATATAACTGTTAAAAAAAATTGGAGTTAAAGATTACAAAACATGATATTAATTTACTACTCAATAATCAATTAGTAGGTGAATATATCACGCTTAAAGAAGTGACTTGTAGTGTGTTGTATGCTACTTATGTGGGTAGAAATAAGTAGTATGTAGTATGAATTGGAAGTGGAAGGCTTAGAAACAGAAGATAAAAATAAAGAGAAGAGGAAGTAAATTTTTCTAATTACATGAAACAGGTGCTCACGTTAATTCAATCATTATTTTAAATTACAACTGACCACTGTGTGTCAGCATCACCAAGGTATGATTTGATAGTTAATAAATAAATCGAGCATTGAATAGATAATTAATAATAAAATAAATATATTTATTTATCCCAACGAGTAGTTATAAGATTTCCGGGCGTTTCGCAACTTAATTTTAACCAATTCTTCAAGGAATAAATAAATATTCAGATTAAATTAACACGAGTTTAAATAGTATAGAGGAAAAGTGCACAATATTTAACTCAGTCAACCGCTAAAAACCAGGAAGCGCTGGAAAGCTTTTTCGTTTTAATAATACACTTCTTAGCAGTGTACTTTTACGAAACCACAATGGGTCGAACCCAGAAACTTTTGGATATATGTTAAGCAATCCTAGCGATAATAATACTGTGC